AACTTGGAATTTCATTTTGTGAACATCAGTAGTTTTCTATACTATGTATTTTAAATCACAGTTTCTATTCCACTGTAGTGTAAATTTGTTGTTTCATTCAACTTACTCATGGCACTCTTCCTTTTTGGCTGCTTGGTGATTGTTAACTCTACATCTTTTTCTGTGTTTGTTGTGTTTTAAATTAGCAGTATTTTCTTTAGGAAGAATTTGTCTTTCCTAATATTGGTGGCCAGGAGGCATAACCAGCATGGTCTATTTTGATGAAGTATGCCGTTAGTATTGTTACTGGTATTCATGCCAGGGCAGCCATGCCTTCCCTACAATATGGTGGTAGGACTTTGTTTCTTTTTGAGTGAGTATTCTTCCTCTGTCTCAGGAAGGCTTAAAGCAGTCTCATTTTGGCAACAGAACAAAGTGTCCCTCAGAGTTCTGGGCTCAATGTGATATTAGGTAATAGTGATACTTTTTTTTTTATTGGAGAAAAAGAAAAAAACAGAAAAAGGGTACAAATAATATAAAATTTAAAAAATAAACAGTAAGAAATCACTAGTTAATAGATTACATATTCTTGTCTTAGAAATAGTTGTTCAAGTTACAAAATTGAAGCATATAAAGTGGACTTTCAAACAGTGAGAGTGCAAACAGTTTTGTTCAGTGATCTAAAAAAACTCAGTAATATGGTTATCTATCTTACACACTTAAATGTATATACAGTTATAACCATTAGAGCACTTTCTTTTCTTTTGTACAATGACAACTACACATTTTGGGCTTTATTATACCCACAGTTCTTACTACTTTTTTTTGAAGAGAGTAAAACCAAATGCAACATTTCAGAACAGAGTCAGTCAAATCAAAAGGATGGACATAATAGATAATGTAAAAACAAAAATAAAGATGATCAACAATGGTTACCATACTGCCTCTTGCTATTTTAAGAAGAATTGTCAGTTATAATAAAATTGAACAAAACAGTAAAGAACAAAACCAAAACACTGGAGACATTACAGGACTTTAAAAGAAGATAATAGTCAACCCGAATGGGCATCATAATGAATCTTATTGTCTTCACAGTTTTGCCTATACTTTCGAACTTGGTACTATCAAGCAAAGCAGAATAGGGGAAAATCAGTCAAAACAAGATAGTGAGGGCACACGGATTTCAAATCAAGTTAATAGGAAATCAAAGTGGGTTACTATAATGTATCCTGCTATTTTTTATTTTTTCCCTTAATTAAAAAGATAAAAAAGTAAATAATTTTAAAAAAAGGGGGAATTGAGATAAAAGAGGGCATAACAACAGAACAGCGCAGGTTACAACATAACCATTTAAGCAAAATAGTGTTTCACCACAAGATATCCTGACATAAAAATAGTTACCATAGTGTCTCTTTCCTTGAAATCTTTGAGTATAACTTTGTATAATGTAGCACCAAACATATCAAGACACTATAAAACCATTCAAGCGAATGGCAGTATTTATTACAGGGTATTTAGAACCAACTATCAGAAAATGAACAATGGTTTCTGTATAATCCCTTTGTCTATAAAAGTTTTTGCTTATATTATCACATGTAATAAAGTCCAATAAGATACAACCTGTTAAGACCAATGAAGATAGAAGAATAAAAGCTTGATGGGACTTCAAATCAAGATGATACTAAATCAGCATTAGCCATTATGTCTTATTTTCTCCAAAATAGCTGTTCCTACCATCCGATCTTCTCTGCCTCATTTCTGTTGAGCTCTTTTTCTGGCGTTTGTTGTCAGTTTGTCTTCATTTCGCTTTCTGCTCCATTCATTGTGGCCTCTCTACCACTATTTCTGGAATCTTGATATTTTCCTTTTTTTAGAATATCCTGCAGGATTCTCTGTAAAGTTGAATTGGTGGTTGCAAATTCCCCTAGTTCCTCTTTATCCTGGAAGCACCTTGTTTTCCCATCAATTTCTAGGGACAGTTATGCAGGATATATCAATCTTGGCTGGAGGTTGTTATCTTTCAAAGCTTGAATTATTTCCCCCCATACTCTTCGTGATTTGATAGTTTGGGCCGAGAAGTGTTCTGTAATTCTGATGGGTGTTCCCTTGTAAATGATCTGTTTCTTGTCTCTGACGGCTTTTAATATTCTGTTCTTATATTGGGTTTCTTGAATTTTGATTATTATATGCCTGGGTGTAGCTCTGTTTAGATTGTAGGTGGCTGGGGTCCTGTATGCCTCGTACATCTGAGTATCTTTACCATTTGCTAAATTAGGGAAATTCTCTTGGATTATTTCTGTGACTAGCTTTTGTAGTCCATTTGTTTGTGTCCCTACTTTTTCTTTTATGTTCTTAAGTTATAGATCCTCTTATCATCTTCTAGCCTTTGTATTGTTGCTTTTTTGTTTTTTTGTTATTTTTAAGAAGTTTTTCATTTCATGCTCCCACATTACAAATCTGCCCCTCCAGTTCAGATAATCTATCCTTAGTTTCTCTCAAGCTGTTATGCCAGTTTTCGATGGAGTTTTTAGTTTCCTGGTAATCTCTTTGAACCTGCTTCACGTATTCTATGTTTTCTGTATTTTCTTCATCAAACAATTCTCCCCTTTTTTTCTGTTCTTCCATTCCACCATCTGTTTTTTCTTGGGTGGTGTTTAGCATTTCTCTAACTATTCTACTTATATCTTGCTTCAGTTCGTTAATAACTTCATTCCGGAACTCGTCTATGAGGCTCTGGAGCTGGCGCTTTATGTCTTGGTGTTGTGTCTGATATTGCTTGATTCTCAGGATTGGGGACCAAGGACCCTTTCTTGTTGCTCCCTCTTCCCATATTTTTGTTCATTTTATATAAGCGAATATAGGAGGCCCAATTTCTTTCTTTGTCAGTTACAGTTTGTTTGTATTGCGCCAGCTAGATGCTCCCGCCCACTGCAGTGTACTAGGGAGATAGAGACCTGGGCAGCCTATTGTGGGCCCGCCTCCCGGTCAACCTACCAAAGGCTTCATTGCTAGGGTGCACCTCTAGGTGCTGGGACCTGGTTTGGGCTAGCCTATTGGGTCTTAATCAGTGGCGTCATGCAGGCCAGGCACTCCCCACCAATCCTGCTTGAGAGGGGAATATGTGACTGAAGTCACTGCAACAACCTGTTCTGGCTAGTCTGCTTGGTCCCAGTATGTCCTTTGCTGAAGCCTCTTACTCTATGGAAGGGTACCCGATCCGCTCACTCACCGCAGGTCGATGCAGGGCTCCTGGCCAGTCCCACTCTCAACTCCATTCACCGCTTCCCACTCTCAGAGCTTTCGCGCCTCTCTTCTTGCCTCGCCGATTGGGACGCAGCAGCAGCTGCAGGAAATTCAAATCGCAGCCTCCAGTGGCGTGGGGTCCAGCTTCCGCACTGAGACCTTATCTGTTCCTGTTATATCACTGGGATTGCGTTTCCAGTTGGTTTCTCTTAGTTTAATTCATTCCTGGGTTGGCAAAGTGTATCTCCCCTTGCTTAGGATTTCTTGCCTGGCACCATTCCTGGATTTTAAGTGCAGTTTCTCAGAGAGCCTCCGAAGCTGCTGCTATCTATCTGCCATGTTCTCCCAGAACTCCTCCCCCCGGGTAATAGTGATACTTAACATCATGGAAGAAACACTGGGTTGAGTAAATTGGTCTCAGTTTTGATTTTGATTTCATGTATATTATGCTGTATGACCTCTTAGACATTTTATTTGTCCTCTTGAGTCTTTTTATTATAAAATTGTGTGTAATAGATGCTATCTTACCAGCAGTTTGAGAAGGCACTGGCAAGCAAGGATATTTGTTTATGAAATTAGTGATAATGTATTAAATAAGGTAAAAACAGAAATATTTTTCCAGTGTGACTTTTGCTCCTTTTTTCATCCTTAATAATGGATACTCAGTTGGATTTTATAAGTGTATCTATTTTGCATTCAGGATTAAGTTAGTCAACTCACATATCTAAATTCATGCATAAAATTATTTTAACATTCAGTTGTAAATGTGATATGTGGGGAATTAGAGGAATATTATGTATTGAGATGACTCAGATAGCCTAAGAATGTGTCTTATAGTATAATTTGAGATGATTGGGATCTTCCTTTGGTTGTCCCCATGCAGGTACTAGAGACTGGAAAATTGTGTGCCTTTGGATTGCTTATGTACCTAAGAGCTTTTAAAAGCTATGAAGTAAAGATTTTGAAACTGCTCTTTATTTATAGGACTTCAGATCTCTGATACTTTAGCATATATATAAAATTATCTTTCATCATCACAATTAAATGTTTGCATTTATTTTTCTCTTTAGATAGGATTATAAAGTATCACAAGGTATGTTAACTATTATAAGGTGCCTATACAGTTGTATCTCATTTGAGCTTTGGAATAACTTGGTGAAATAGGCAGTGGAAGCATTTTTAACTGTCACTTTACTGATGAAAACTCAAGTCCTGATTTGGTGAGTTATGTATTTCTAAGTTGTTTACACATGGGGTCAGCACTAAGATTCAAGATTCAAGATCCATTCCTTTGTAGTCCGGCTCTACCTACTGATCATAGAAGGTATGCAGTGGCATAGAAGTTTTTAAATTTCATTACTCATCTGTGATGGCTTAGGTGCATTTCAACCAGTATCTGCCATTAAATTGCCACAGGTGTTTTTCTAGTTTTCTAGATTATAAATAGCTAGGAAAGTAATAGTTTTGGGAATGAGTGGAATCTAAGATTCTCATAAACGGTTTTGCTCATCAGTCTTTTTTTCCTAGACAGCTGTAACTCATTTTTTTGGTGAATAGTGAAAGTTAAATCTGGTACTTGTAGTTTTAGAAGTTTGAGAGTGCTTTTAGTATGTCTTAGTTGTGATGAAAAACTTCTGAAAACTTTGGATATTAGACTACTTATGTGTATATAATGTTGTTCTTACAGAGTATCTCAATTACCAGTGGAAGAAATTTGTAGAAAGTAAAATGATTGAGGAAACATGCACATATTTTTACTCTTTTTGCATTTATTTCAGATCTTGTTCAAGCCCTAAAGCCAGAATATGTGGCACCCCTGGTCCTTTGGCTTTGTCACGATAGTTGTGAGGAAAATGGTGGCTTATTTGAGGTATTTTGAAGTTTCCCTGTTTTCTCCTAAACAATATTTGTGTAATTAAATATTAAAAAATGTTTTAAAATTGGTATTTAAAAAATAAAAAAGGAAAAAATTGGGGCCAGGCATTTAGCTCAGCGTTGGAAGCACCTGCCTGGCTAACATGAGATTGTGAGTTCAATCCCTGGTACCAAAAAAAAAAAAAAAGTAAAATTGGTATTTTCCAAATGCTTACATTTGTAAAAATCTACACCTGTTGGCATTCATTTCTTGTTTATTTTTAAAAATATTATGTGTGTGTTATTAAGAAAAAAGTGTGTATTAGTGACCTTTTGAGACTCTTGTTAACAGCTTTATAAATTGTTTTTCCTTAGTTTTTCATTTCTAATATTCTTACCAAATGAAAATAAGGCTGATTTAATGTGTTTAGGCAGGTATAGAAAGTCTCACTGATTTAAGAAACTCAGTGTTGACGTGGAAAGAGGGCTCAAGGTTTAGAGTCTGCTAGGTCACGTTTTGAATTCTGGTAATTCTGACATGCTGAGTGCTTATATGTTAACATTCTTTATCTTCTTTATATATTAACATTCTTTTCTTGTGCTTTGTTGTGACAGAATTGTACAGAGCTGGTCTTTCTGCAGTGTTAATTACCAGTATAGCAGGAATTTAGTTTGAGTTTGAGAGACCAATAAACACAAATTATTATTGTAACTTTAGTAATAAACTTTTCGAATTTTATATATTACATATTTTTACATGTTTATTGAACATCAAACCACATAATCCCACCATTCAGAGAGGTTAGTGAACCTCTGTTGTAAAAGTCCTTTTAGTTTTTTCTAAACCAATATATATATATATATGTGTATATATATTTTTCTGATTACTTATTTGGGTTTGGTATCTTTTTCTTGCCTGACATGTTGTATATTAGAGTGTCCTTCTCTACTTCATACTCTGTGGTGGTAGTGACCAACCCTGGCATGTATTCTGCAACAGGCTGTTTGTTATCGTTGAGAACTCTAAAAGGTTTCACCATCTCTGTTTGGTGATAGTAATGAACCTGTTGTATACAGAATACCATAGCATCCAAAATATTTCTTGGAAGCAGAAGGACCTGGCTCAGTTTGAAATATATAACATATCACTACATTTTAACACAAAGTTGATGAGTAAATTAAAGAATAAAAAAAGCAGAGATATGTACTTCCCCTTTCTAATCATACCTACTGAATTTGAGTTGTGGAGGTTAAGAGGTAGAAAAGTCTTACAATTTTAATATTACAGAATAAGAAAATTTAATAATATTAAATCATCTTGAGTTTAAAACTTTGCCTAACCCACTTTTACCTAAAGAATTAAAAATTATTTGTTTTTTATGATTACATTTATTAACTACGAAGAGGAGTAAGTTCTACTTGTGAAAGTTTCCAATATGTGAGAACACAGAAAATGATCCAGGTTAATCACCATCCAGAGAGAACTATTAATATTTTTATATATTTTCTTCCAGTCTTTTGTTAGATTTGCATTTTTACACCAGTTTTTTAGATGTGCATTTTACACACACGTATAAATTAGGATCAAACTGCAGGTAGTTTTGCTAGTTTTTTTTTTTACTATATTGTGAATATTTTTAGTAAGGAATATTTACATATATGATTGATACAGTTGGTGAGAGTATCCTGACTTCAGCCTTGGCGAAGTTCTAATAGATACCTCGAGTGGCAGATCCAGACTCTTTAGTTTGGCTGAAGAGTTGTTTTTATTAGCTGAGAAAATCTGTAGCTTCTTAACTTTGCTTGTGAAATTTGGTAGAAAGGTAATGAAAAGTTTGCCTGTGATTAAAACTGTTGCTGGTTTATCTATTACAACTACATCAAGGCAGATCAAATGCACTAGAAAGGTGTGGGCATAGTAATATAAAGGCAGAATGTTATGAAAAGTCTCATACTCAGGGTTAGAGCAGTGTCCACTGTCTGCTCATGCATTTCTCCTTCATATGAGAGATTCCAGTAAGCTCTGACACACTGTAATGGTGCTTGAAGACATGGTAAGATTTTCTTTACATCAGACATTTTTATCCTTCAGACTTTCCTGAGTTACTTCTAGAAAATTGTAGAAATGAAAAATTTATTTTTCTATGTGACTATTAGTGTTTGGTCATTTTCCGTACGTATACAAGGATGTTTCACTAAAATGAGTATGTGTGGTTCATTGAGTCCAATATTTTTTTAAATTCACTAATCTTTTCTACAGGGGCATTTATTTCAAGTCTGTAGTTCACTATATACTATTTATATTATTTGAACTTCAAGATAACTCATGTATTGTTATCTTTTATCTTATGTACAAGAAAACTTGGATCTTGGGAGGTTTCATGATTTGAGACCCAGTCAGAAGAACTGGGTCTTGTTCTCTGGTTTCATCTTCGTTCTTTTTTACTGCATGCATTTCTACTATGTTGTGCTCTTTAGCTTTCTGCTCTCATAACATGAATGATTCAGAGTCATTGGGGCCAAAGGGCTCTGCAGAACCACATGTTACTTTTATTCATTATCCTCTAGTGTTCTAATACTCCTAGTAAGTAGTTGCCTTTTGGTGCCACAAATTCTTTTTTTTTTTTTTTTTTTTTTTTTGACTGGTGCCAGGGATTAAACTCATGACCTTGTGTTTGCGGGCTGGTACTTACACTGCTGAGCTAAATCCCCAGCCCCAGGTAGTTGCTTTTTTAAACAGTTCTGTTAGTGATTTTATATGAGATGATGCAGTGTTTTACTTTTCTTTTTTCTAGGTTGGAGCAGGATGGATTGGAAAATGTAAGTCTTTGTCACTTTTTGCTCGTCAGGTGTTATTTCCATGTCTTTAAACCTATATATCCATTAGAGCTGGAAATAGGAATTTTGTGAAGTGCCAGATCTAGTGCATGTATTTCATTCTTGAACATTGTTATAACAACAGTATTTTAGTAGGCTAGAGACACTTATAAGAACTTTCCTATGCTTCTTTTTTTTTTTTTTTTTTGTCTTTTTTTCCTTTTTATCAGTACTGGGGATCGAACTCACGACCGCCTGCTTGTAAGGCAGGTGCTTATGCTGCTGAGCTAAATCCCTAGCCCCTTTCCTATGCTTCTTATAGGTAGTCCTTCTTGAGACCTGTTCTGTCTTGATTGGAACTGGCTATTTATTCAGACAGCATAGACTCTCAATGCTGATATTTATCAGCAATGTCTATGGCATCCCACGTTCTTTTTTTTTTTTTCTTCTGTTTTATAGAGAATCAACTGGGAGGAAGAACAGATTTTGAAAAGATAAGTTCCTGTTTTAGATAGTAGCGTAAGCTATCTGGAGAGAGTAAAAAACCACATTGTACAACTTTCTAGGACAGAAATTCACCAGTTGTACCCCCCGTGCCTGTCTTGTAAATTCATTTGGCATCGGTGTTTGGTCCTGTCTTAGGATTTGTGAGCATCAAATTTGATAAGGGCATTTTTTAAAATTGTAGAAATCCCAGTGCTCAACTTCTTTTCAGTTGACTGACTGCTGGTATTAAAATTAATCACAAAATTGAGTTATTTAAAAAGTTGTTATCACTGGATAACAACTGGATTGTTGCAGTGTATTGCAGAGTATCAGTATTTTTAGCATTTCTAAATGTTCTCTCCAGTTGTTAAAATGATTGATATTTCTCTAGCATTTGATCATCTTATGATACTCATTTAAGAAAGGTAGATAAGTGTTGAAATCAAAGTTTCTGGCAGTTTATCAATAGAAAAGATCTAGAAGCAGACATTTCTGTCATTCACCAAAACAGATTTTAAATTTAACAGTTATTAAAGTCTGGACATTTTGTTTAAATAAGGTTAAATAGAGGTTATTCTTCTGGATTTTGAAAAAGAAACTTAAAATTTCTAATAGAATTTGTGTAGCTGTAATCTGCCGTAGTCTGACATCTTGTAGAAATTTAAGAATAGGAAGGGAAGATTAAGGGGGAATTGTTTGTGGTCATCCAGTTTATTAACTGGAATATTTGACCTATTATCACCACTAGTCCTGAATTTGCTATGCAGCAAACTTCTTTTAATCATTTTATAAACAAGGAGAGTAAAGGAAGAGTGAAGTGTCTTTACCCTTGTGATCTGCAGTCATGAGGTCAGTCTTTTGGTATGATTATTATAGAATCTAAACTTTTCAGATTTAACATTTTTTCCTTTAGTGCCTAGCATTAGAAGAGAAGTTTTTTTCCGTAGGTTCACACTTTTTTAAAAAAGATTTTTTTTTAGGAAAAATGATTTTGAGACTATAGTAAAACTCTTCGGAAGTTAAAATCTCTTTTCCCTTTTTTTTGAAGTTAAAATTCTATGGGAGTCTTTATGTATGTCTCCCTCAAACTGCACTCAGTATCTTGATTTTGTTTCTCTAACTAGTACGCTGGGAGCGGACCCTGGGAGCTATTGTCAGACGAAAGAATGAGCCAGTGACTCCTGAAACAGTGAAGGCTAACTGGAAGAAGATCTGTGACTTCGATAATGCCAGCAAGCCGCAGAGTATCCAAGGTGCTGCAACTTCTCCTTGACTGAAGAACCAGAGGCAGCAAACATTTTCTTTTCTCAGGAATGTGTCTTCTATCTATTCTTGATGACTTAGACACTTAAATCATCTCTGGTACATTTTTTGCTCTACCAGATACTAGAACTCTTTATGTTTAAGATATTTTACTCCACTATTTTCCAGGTTTTTAAAAAAATAATCTTTTGTTTTGTTGGTGTGTGACTAAGGAAGGATGGTATGAGGTGTTAAATTATCTGTTCCCCAGTTGATGGTTATTTTTAAAATCATTTCTAATCTAGTCATAAGTTCCTTATCTGACCCAGGTTTTCCTCTATTTCCCTAATGGTTTATTTATACCTATTTAAGTTTAGCTCTTTTCTGTCCAGTGAATAGATGTGGGCTCATTTTAGGACTTTGGATTTGCTGCTTTTTTTATGTCTTTTCATCACAACTCTTCCTCCTTCACTACCTGTGCATAATTTTGGGCTACACTCATCTTTTGTTAGTTGAATTTTCACTACTTGAACATCTGATTGTAAGAGCTCTACCATCTCTCCTAATCTCATGAAAATGTGGTTTCTTAACTGTTTGATAAGTTTCTTTAGGGCAGAGATTACCTCATAGGTGATTTTTTTTTCTTTCTTTCATGGAGGGTATCAAACCCAGGTTTGTGTATGGTAGGCAGGTACCCTGCCTATTGAGGTATGCTCAGTGGAATATGTAATTCTGTTGTGTTCAGTGTTAGCATAGTGCTGAATTCACAGACGAGATTTAGTAAATGCCTGTTAACTAGAATTATTTAATCATCTATGATGTGCCCACAGGAGTAGGTACCAAATAAAATTTACATTTTTTCTCGTATAATTTACATGTACATTTGGTATAAGTTTTCTGAGAAAGATCATGAATCAGTGTCATTTGAAAGAAAAACATTTTTCTTTTTAGTGATTTTATATTCAAAGTTTATGGACTATGTCAGATGTATATAGTATAGGTCATATGGTAATATTCTTGTATTCTGTATTTTGGTCTTTCAGATAAATTTATTTTATGATTAACAGTCATTTATTAATGAAACTGAAAGAGAAAAAGGGAAAATTCATTTAAAAACTTGTGATTTATGCTTTAAAACTATTTTTTGCTTCAAAAGTAATGTTACCTAAAACTAATTGATGCCTCTAATGTTTGAAGTACAGTAAAACAACAACAGCAGCAACAAAAACACTTTTCTATAAGAGTTGATTCTCTAGAGCACATAGTCCAGTGTTTTTATTTTACAGAACTACATCACAGAATTACTGGACCGGTCAGTGTTTGACCCAAGACCAGTTGGAGTGTAATGCTTTGACCCTGTAGCAAGGTGCCTTTCAATTCCTTAGCCTTCCCCTCAAGGCAGTAGCCTGAATGGAGAGGTAGGGGAAGATTAACAGGCAAGAACCCCTCCCCTAGTGTCACCTAGAATGGTAGTCTTGGACATTGTAGTTTGGTTTGTGGTTTTTGTCTGAGTTCAGAAGGAAGTCCATTGTCCCACAGGTTTGGTAGGAGCATCCCAGAGGCTTCAGAATACCCTGTGGTGTAAGTGGCTGTGCTGTGAGGGTACTTTATAACCTTTTGGATTGCAGAGCAACACATTCTTTTCCTTTTGGACTCATTGTTTATGAGAGTGAATTTTTTCTATCTCTAGAAGAAATTTTAGCACTATTTTTAGACCTTTTCCTTGTGTAGAAACCTAGGACAGGTAATTTTGGCATTCTTCCATGTCTGTAAACAAGTATCCTACTTTACAATGATAAAATAGCTTAAGATACTGCAAAGCTCAGAGCTCTCCAGAACCTGGGAAGGATATATTAGACAATGTATTGTTTTCCTTTGAGGATAGCTAGTTATTTTTAGTCTCTTTCAGTGTTTCACAGTTTTTTTCTTCAAGAGCCTAACATCATACATTCAGTTTGTGAGTGGTGATGGAGGTTTTTTAGCAACTGTTACCTAGCTTACCATGTAGTTTTTTAGTCACATTTAAACAAAGGTTTTTTTCTTATTTTCCTTAATTTTAGAGTCAACTGGTGGTATGGTTGAAATTTTGCATAAAATAGATTCAGAAGAAGTTTCAACAAATCCTACCAGTCATGCCACATCTACAGCATCGCCAGGATATGTAAGTGTGACAAAAAGGCCTTTGCTTTTGTCTCTCTGGAGGATGTTTTTTTCTTCTTTCTCTTCTCTCTTTCCTTTTGGATGCAGTGAGTGTCTTTCAGTTTTAAGAATGGAGAGAAATAGTGGCACCAATAGTTTGAAATAGAGAATTTATTCAGCATTCATTTATGATTGACTTCAATGCCAGTTCTGACATCCAGGCCTTGAATCCCATGAAGAGCGGCCTGTGGCGAATGCTGAGGAAGTCTGGAATTCCCGTCTCCCTCTCTTCTTCGCTTTCTCTGGACTCTGCTGTCCTTTTCTTTTACCAACTCTAGAGAGGAGATCAGGGCAGCTGAGTAATAGTTTTCAAAGCTCTGCTAGTGCATTGATGGCAGAACTTTTAGACAAGCATCCAGATTGCAACCCAAAACCCATGTATTTATTGCAGAGTGCCAACATGGCAGTTAAACCTAAATACTGAGGTTTTATTTGACAAAAAGCAGCTCGTACATTAACATTTTTTATTTTAAAAGAAGTACAACCTGCGTACCATAGGTTCGCCACCACTGTTCCGATGTGTGAGTGGGGTAGGGAGAAAGGCAGCTAACCTGCTCAGCTTGTTTTGGATTTTCTCGGTGATTGAAAACCTGCTGGGAGCTTATCTGAACTTTTCAGAAGGATTCTCTTCACTAGTATGTTTTGATAGTTTCTTTGGAGGTATGTGATAAATTTAGGTAGTTGTCTGCCTGGTGCTTTAGCTACCTTTATCGTTACGTTGCTGTTGTATGTTAACTTAGGAAGGTACTAGATGGAAGGGGAAGGGAATTAGGGCGGAAGTGAAATTGGCCTCTGGTCCTGAGAGCTTTGCTTGCCTGCCTACCTGCCAGCCTGCTTGTCTCTCCATGTGTCATTTTTATTGTGCTATTAGTGCCTCTTTATCTCTTCAAGCCTAAGTTTCAACTGATGATGAATAGTTCCAAGTTGTGTGAAAATTTGTGGGAGTGATTCTGTTTTGCAGTCTCTGTTTTTCTCCTAATCTACCAAGAAGGAGACTTTGTTACACAATTTTGATACTTATTTTACATACATGTTATTTCCTAAGCTGCTGTTATATTAATAATTGGCCATAAAACTTTCCATAAAATATGTTCTAGATAAACATGTACTAATAAAAAATTGAAAGTGATTTTTTCATTATACTTTCACCAAATCTTTGAAATTTTAACTTTGCAAAACTATTACCTTTACACCTATTTTTGCTTTGGAAAGTGATCTAACTAGAATATCAGTAAATCTGATGGCGACAGTTTCTTTTTTTTAAACCCTAAGAAGGGTTTTTACAGTTTTAATAGGGGGTTAAGGAAAAAAAAACAGAGCTCAGGGTATATAGTGATGGAGCATATAACAAGTTTTTTAGCTGAAACTTGTTCAAACACTTCCAAAATATAATCTGTTAATGATTTCCCTTAAAAGAACAGACTCAGACTCAGACTTTAGAAATATCCTTTTCTAAAAAGTTAGAAAAATAGTGACTAGGATTATCAAAGGATGGTCATGAAAAAGTATTCATCAAATGTATGACAAGCAGAAAATAAAGGCTACATTTAATATTCAATTAATGTTCATTCTATCACTATCTAGAACATATTTTATGAAAGGTTCCAGGAATATAGCAGAGGGATACCTGGGCATATGGAATTTCTAATTTAATTCTTTGAGAAATCTCCATACTGATTTCCATAATGGCTGTACTAGTTTACATTCCCACCAACAATGAAGGAGAGTTTCTTTTTTATCACAGCCTGTCCAGCATTTGTTATTGTTGGAAATAATAAAATTTTTTTTCAACTGTTCCACAGGCTAGCGCTATTGGGTATAAGCTTCCTTCATCTTTTTCCACTTATACGGAACTGGACTGTATTATGTATGCCCTTGGAGTGGGAGCATCAGTGAAAGATCCAAAAAATTTGAGATTTCTCTATGAAGGAAGTCCTGATTTCTCCTGTCTGCCTACTTTTGGAGTTATTGTAGCTCAGAAGTCTGTATTTGGTGGAGGATTAGCAGACGTTCCTGGACTTTCAATCAACTTTGCAAAGGTACGCCTACTAAGAAATTTTCTTTTGCTTATCTTCTGTTTCTTTAAGTGTTACTGGTAAATGCACATCTTATATGTATATATACGTATATGTACTCAAAAACTAAAATATTTTACAATGGTTACTTCAGTAATAAAGATTTAGCATAGACTTTGATTTTTCTAAGAATGAGAGAGAAGAGTTAGTTTAAAATGCCAGCAAAAAAGATTATGCAGAGTCCCCAAACCCTGGCATAATGTTGTTTTTGCTCTACTATTTGTTGTTTGGCCAAGGGTAAATAACTTATTTAGGTTTCAGTTTATTTTATGAGATGCATATGATAATCCCTATTTCATGATACTGGTGAAGGAGTAAATCAGCTAATTACCTGGCGCTGGGGAGAGTATTTGGGGCAGAGAGAACACCTGCAATGACAATGAGGTAGTTGCATACTTGACCTGATTTTGAAGCCGCATGGTGGTCTGTGTAGCTAGTATGAACAATGATCACTGTGTTACCAGTGGTAGGAAAGTAGAACATTGTAATTGTAAGGACTGCAGCTAGTGCTCTGGTTAGTAAGGAAAGCCATTGGTCTGACTGTATTGAAGTCTTACAGTGATCTGGAAAAGAGATGCCTGAGAGCCAGGCGCAGAAGATTCTGTGTTAGCAATGCAAGCAAAAGGGCTAGACATAAGGGGAAGGAAAAGAGGACTCAAGAAGGGATGTGTTTGTTCTAGACAACTGAAATTATATGTACAAGGATATGTGTGTGTGTATACATGTTATATATACAAACATATATATATAGTTATATAAGTATATTTACTACGTACAGCAGTCGATCCTCTACACATAAACTTATTTTAAGGAGTTGGTTTTGGATAAGTTTTGAGATGCTTGTTACATAGTTCGTTGGAGATGTAGAGAGGGCAGTTGAATATTCGTGCAGAGTTTGGAAGAAAGGTCTAAACAGGATCCTTAGCATTTAGATGGTATTTAACAGCGGAGTAGATGCACGTCATTGATGTGTGAGCAGAGTTACAGGAAAGACTTGAGTTCAGAGGTTTGGTAGTGTTTAGAGGTTAAAGAGATGTAAGAGATCTGGAGAAAGAGAAGCTTAGCCTGTGGATATGAGGAATACATTGACAATGTGGTTTTTGAAAAGCCAAATGAATAAAATGTTTCAAGAAGGCAGGAGTAAACAGTTGTGAGAAAACTTTTGAGGGAGGACATATGTTAGTCCTTGAAGTAAGGTTTAGGTTGAGCCCAAATATAATTGTTGAATCATAAAACTATAAGCAGATTTCTGTGATTGGATTGATTTGCCCATTGCTAATGAATATCCCTTCTTAAAAGATGGGAACTTACTTTCTTAAAGCATTTGATGAATTTAGGAAGAAGACTAGAAATACGTGCTTTAGCAGTTGGCTATTTTAGTTACTCTTCATGTGACTTATGGCACACTGTTCTATTTGGATAACGTAAGTGTAAAAAATTAAAATGGATATTTCACAATATCTCCTCAGAGTTAGAAATCTTCAGTGGTGTTTATATTCTTGATCAGGAATGATAGCAGTCTTAGAATTTCAATGCCATTCTTGTCAACCTTGAGTTTTAAGCTGTATGACATAGGAAGGCAGGCAGTCCTTCTTTTATTTTCCATCACCTTTCTTTTCTATCCTTTTTTTTACCTTTTGAATTCTGAGGAAGACTGGAAAGTTGTCTCACTGAAGTGGAGTGCAGTCATTTGGGTGTGAAGGTTACTTTTTTATTTTCTTGACCTGTTGTTTTCCACAAATATTGGTGTATTCTTGCTTTGATACATTGAAGATGCCATTAAGTTACACAGTGTTCTCAGTGTTTACTCTTTGTAAAAGTAATTATACACATGGCTGACATTGATAGTGCTTTTACTTTGAACGTGGTTGTATGGTTTACCTTAGAATTCATGAATGCCAAGAAAGAACACAAGTATATTTTTCCCAGCAGTTTGGGGGACTGATTATTTCTGGATGAGAGGACCTGAAAGTAGAAGCCAAACTGAGGTAGATGATATGGAAGAGTAGTGCTGTGATCATGTGAATGTGAAATGTCACTTTGGATTAGCACTATCCTCAGGCAGAACCTGGGGACAAGAAAGGTTACTAATAAAATTTTGCTTATCCTAACATAGGTTCTTCATGGGGAACAATACTTGCAGATATATAAACCATTTCCTAGAGCAGGTGAGTACCTGATGCATTAATACCAAAATAGCACAGTTTTATTTTTTGATTAATCCTTCAAAGTCTGCTGTGTGTTAATCTAGCATGGAATAGCCAGGTAAAACCTAACAGAAGTAATTATGCGCCCATACACAATTTGATTAATTTGATTTGGTTACTTTAGACTTTGTGAAATGCTGCTCTTAGAATTTTTTACATTCTCATCAGTGTATTCTGATGTATATATCATTAGTGTTTGAAAGGACATTTGTGTGTGTTTTAAACAGTGATTGTGTTAGAGTTCTTCATTCTTTTTCTGAGGTATTTATCTTGATTCTTATTTTCATAAAGTGAACAGTATTTAAAGACACCAAATTTCTTGTAATTTTTTCCTTTCTTTGAGAAGGTAAAAACAAGCCTATGTTGGTTCTCATCTTTTCTCAATCTTGCTTGTTCAATGAAGCTTTCAGTATAACTTGATATATAGTATTTTTTCTCTGATGTCAGAATGTTATCTGACTTATTGGCCATCTAAGTGTTTAAAAGGATATTTACATTGTATATTGTATAATATTGAAGTCAACAAGTAGCTAGAGTCCTATTTTTTCTTTTTCTTTTTTTGTCTTTTTTGTTTTTATCGGTACCAGGGATTGAACTCATCACTGCCTGCTTGCAAGGCAGGCGCTTATGCTGCTGAGCTAAATTCCCAGCCCCCCTATTTTTTTTTAACCTATATTTATCTAAAGTTTTTGAGTGTCTTATTGCTTTATTCCAGTTACAGCGTAAACTTCGAACAGCTTGTTTTATCTGAGATAGAGCACAGTTTGTAACTGTGCATTCATCATATGTCTGCTGAATACTTCCCATTTGCAAGGCGTAGTATTAGGTATTAGATATTTTTCTAACCTGGTTGCATATTTTTTTAAAAATTTTATTAAAGGAGAAAAAGAAAAACAGAAAAAGGGTACAAGTTATACAGAATTTCAGAAAAAATAAACAGTAGGAAATCACTAGTTAGTAGATTACGTATTGTTATCTTAGAAATAGTTGTTCAAGTTACAAAAGTAAAGCATATAAAGTGGACTTTCAAAGAGTGAGACTGTAAACAGTTTTGTTCAATGATCCAACAAAACTCAGTAATATGGTTATCTATCTTAGACACGTAAATATATATGCAGTTATATCTTTTAGAGCACTTTCTTTTCCTTTCTTTTGTACAATGACAATTACACATTTTGGGTTTTATTACTCCCACAGTTCTTATTACTTTTTTTTGAAGAGAGTAAAACCAAATGTGCCATAACAGAACAGAGTCAGTCAAATCAAAAGGATGGACATAATAGATAATGTAAAAACAAAAATAAAGATGATCAACAATGGTTACCATATTGCCTCTTGCTATCTTAAAAAGAATTGCCTATATCATCAGTTATAATAAAATTGAACAAAACAGTAAAAAATAAAACCAAAACATTGGCGACATTACAGGACTTTAAAAGAAGATAATAGTCAACCAGAATGGGCGTTATAATGAATCTTATTATCTTCACAGTTTTGCCGATACTTTCGAACTTGGTACTCTCAAGCAAAGCAGAATAGGGGAAAATCAGTCAAAACAAGATGGTGAGGGCAATACAGGGTTTCAAATCAAGTTAATAGGAAATCAAAGTGGGTTACTATAATGTATCCTGCTATTTTTTATTTATTTTTCCCTTAATTAAAAAGATAAAAATAAAAAACTAAATAATTAAAAAAAAGGAGATTGAGATAAAAGAGGGCATAACAACAAAACAGCACAGGTCAAAGCATAACCATTTAAGCAAAATAGTGTTTGACCACAAGATATGCTGATATAAAAGTAGTTACTATAGTGTCTCTTTCCTTGAAATCTTTGAGTATAGCTTCGTATACTGTAGCACCAAACATACCAAGACAATGTAAAACCATTCAAGAGAATGACAGTATTACAGGGTATTTAGAATCAACTATCAGAAAATGAACAATGGTTTCTGTATAATCTCCTTGTCTATAAAAGTTTTTGCTTATATTATCACATGTAATAAAGTCCAATAAGATACAACCTGTTAAGACCGATGGAGACAGAAGAATAAAAGCTTGATGGGACTTGAAATCAAGATGATACTAAATCAGCATTAGCCATTATGATGTCTTGTTTTCTCCAAAATAGCTGTTCCAACCATCTAATCTTCTCTGCCTCATTTCTGTTGAGCTCTTTTTCTGTTGTTTGTTGTCAGTTTGTCTTCTTCATTTCGCTTTCTGCTCCATTCATTGTGGCCTCTCTGACACTATTTCTGAAATCTTGGTATTTTCCTTTTTTAGAATATCCTGCAGTATCTCTGTAGAGTTGAATTGGTGGTTGCAAATTCGCCTAGTTCCTCTTTATCCTGGAAGCACCTTGTTTTCCCATCAATTTCTAGGGACAGTTGTGCAGGATATATCAATCTTGGCTGGAGGTTGTTATCTTTTAAAGCTTGAATTATTTCCCCCCACACTCTTCATGATTTGATGGCTTATGCTGAGAAGTGTGCTGTAATTCTGATGGGTGTTCCCTTGTAAGTGATCTGTTTCTTGTCTCTGACGGTTTTTAATATTCTGTTCTTATATTGGATTTCTTGAATTTTGATTATTATATGCCTGGGTGTAGCTCTGTTTGGGTTGTAGCTGGCTGGGGTCCTGTATGCCTCATACATCTGAGTATCTTTACCATTTGCTAAATTAGGGAAATTCTCTTGGATTATTTCTGTGACTAGCTTTTGTAGTCCATTTGTTTGTATCCCTACTTCTTCTTGTAGGTTCTTAATTCTTACATTATAGATACTCTTATCATCTTCTAGTCTTTGTATTATTGCTGTTTGTTTTCTTGTTATTTTTAAGAAGTTTTTCATTTCATGCTCCCACATTACAAATCTGCCCTCCAGGTCAGATAATCTATCCTTAGTTTCTTCCAAGCTGTTATGCCAGCTTTCAATAGAGATTTTAGTTTCCTGGTAATCTCTTTGAACCTGCTTCACGTATTTTATGTTTTCTCTGTTTTCTCCATCAAACAATTCTCCCCTTTTTTTCTGTTCTTCCATTCCACCATCTGTTTTTTCTTGGGTAGTGCTTAGCATTTCTCTAACTATTCTATTTATATCTTGCTTTATTTCATTTAATACTTCTCCTCTAAACTTGTCCATGAGGCTCTGGAGATACCACTTTATGTCTGTTGGTGCTGTGTCTGATATTGCTTGTTTTCTGTCCTCCTTTGCATTTACCTTTCCTAGATCAGTGTTCTCAGGACTGGGGACTGAGGACCCTTTCTTGTTGCTTCCTCTTCCCATACTTTTTGTTCCTTCCATACAAGTGAATATACAAGGCCCAGTTTTTTTTCTGTTTGTCTGTTGCAGTTTGTTTGAATTGCGCCAGTGAGGTGTTCCTGCCCACTGCAGTGTCCTAGGGAGACACAGAACTGGGCAGCCTCTGCTGGGCCCACCCCTCCAGGTCAGCCTACCGAAGGCTTCACCGCTAGGGTGCACCTCCAGGCGCTGGGACCTGGTTTGAGCTAGCCTACTGGATCTTAGTCAGCGGCGTCACCCAGGCCAGGCACTCCCCACCAGTCCCGCTTGAGAGGGGAATATGTGACTAAAGTCACTGCAGCGTCCTGTTCCAGCTAATCTGCCCAGTCCCAATATGTCCTTTGCTGAGGCCTCCTACTATATGGAAGGGTCCCCGTTCGCTCACTCACCGCAGGTTGATGCGGGGCTCCCTGCCAGCCCTGCTCTCAACTCTGTTCGCCGATTTCCACTCTCAGAGTTTTCATGCGTCTCTCCCTGCCCTGCTGATTTGGACGCAGCAGCGGCAGCAGGAAATTCAAATCGTGGTTTCCAGTGGCGCGGGTTCCAGCTTCTGCACTGAGACTTTATCTGTTCCCGTTATAGCACCAAGATTGCATTTCCAGTTGGTTTCTCTTAGCTTAGTTCATTCCTGGGTCAGCGGGGTATATCTCCCCTGCTTAGGACTCCTCGTACCGTACCATTCCTGGATTGTAAGCCGGGTATCTCAGAGAGCCTCCATAGCTGCTGCTATCTCTCTGCATGTTCTCCCGGAAGTCTAACCTGGTTGCATATTAAAATTACCTGAATTATTAACATCTGTTATTTTTAGTAAAACATGATATTAGTCCGTTTCCTAGGACAAAATGTCTGTTGTCCACAATTTCCAGGATGAGAGGTTTATTTTGGTTCAGTTTCCAGTGGGTTCAGTCCAGAATTTGCAGAACAGCTTGGTGGGAGGGCTGCTCGAGGACAGCTGCTCATTCCACAGTAGCCAGGAAGCAGAGAGAGAAGAGATCTGGAGACAAAGATTAGTTGCCAGGAACTGTCCCCTCCCAACAGAGCCCCATCTTTGAACAGAGACTTTCTGGGGATATTTGAGATCTAAACCATGATGTGTGGATGTGGACCCCAAACTGGAAGATTTTGTGTGTGTTTGTGTGTGTGCCTGTGGGTGGTGGTGGCATCTGTGGCGGGGAAGGTCCCTTGTGTCTCATACACAACCAGCCTGACAGGTTCATTTGGCATCCATTGCTGTTAGTGAAATAGAAATGTATTTCATTCTGCCTTGAGGGATTTTAAAATATGGAGAGATTAGACATATACTCCAAAATGATTAAAATGGCACAATTTTTTTTATTTTAAAGAGGGTAAAATTAAACACAACGAAACAGAACATAAGAAAGCAATGTAAGAGACATAAATTTCAAAGCAAGACAATCAGAAATCTTCACTATCTATTGTATTGTCTCTTGTTTTCTTCCAAATAATTGTCCATATCTTCACACACAGAGAATTCACACGAAACAACAGGGTGTAGAACTGATCTGAACAAGATGAGGAAGGCATTTTAGGTCTTCAAGATCAGACAGTGGGAAGTCAACAAATGGCTGTCATAGTGTCTCTTATTCTCTTCAAAATAGCTGTCCATACCTTCATTTATGTTGAAATTAAAACCACATCGGCTAAAATCACTCTAAACAAAGAATAGTAGTTTGCTAGATTTCACATCATGATGGTATGGAATCAGCACTGGGTACTGTAGTGTCTCTTTTTCTTTAAAGTAATTGTTCATTTTGTGATGTGTTATATGATCAGTTCTCATAAATTGTTTATAGCTTATACGCATGCATAAGTCTCTACATGTGTTTCTATCCTTTCTGTATTAGAGGGAAAAACAAAAAGTAAGACAAAGCAAAACAAATTCCTATAAAAACATGAAATGAAAAATCATATGAAACCATAGTACAAGGTGATCTACAATGCTTACTGTGTTCTCTCTTGTTATCTTCAGTAGAATTGTCTATATCATCAGGCATAGTATAATTGAATATAGCAGTACATAACAATATCAATAAAAGCAAAACATTGTAGACAGTGCAAAACTTCAAAAGCAAGTAATAATCAAACCAGAGTGAGTATCCTAGTGAATCTTACATCTTCAGTGTAGTTGCCTATACTCTCAGACTTGATACTATCAATCATAACAAATTTGAATAAAATCTATCAATTCAAAACAGCAATCTAACAAACCAGATTCAACTAAGATCAGTCATGATGAAACAGTGTAAGTTATATAGGGCTTCAGATTAAGTTAATAGGAAATAAGGATGATTACCATACTATATATCCTGCTATTTTCGGGATAGCTGTCTGTGTCCTCAAATCTAGTACAAATAGACAAACTGGAATAGAATATAATCCATCTAAACAGAGCAGTGTGTGTAATGTGGGTTTTAAGTCCTGATACACTATTAACAATATCCTCTGCCTTCTTTTTTTGGCCTATTCCTCCCCTTTCCCACAAGATGCGCTGCTCATTTTGGGTCCCACCAACTCTCTCAATTTTTATTGGGGGGGGGCTCCCTGCTTTATCTAAGTGGTTCTCACTCCTGGACTTGATCTTAAGTTGTATTCCTTTACCTACAAAAGTCTCAAGGTTTTCCTTCATAATAGCTGAGTAGTTCTCTATTGCACATAAGAATCCTTTCTTTTCAACCTGTGTGCAGGTGCTGGTTGAGATGCCCCTATTTCTCTCTGGTTCTCTGTCACACAGAGCGTTGTTTTTCTCATATTTGATTTTTGGTCCATAAATATTTTTTCAGGTTAATTATATTTCCTATACAGAGCGTCTCAGTGGACTCTACCTCCCGATCTACTCTGCCTGTGTTTCTTTTTTTTTTTTTTTTAGTGTATCAAAGCCATTTATGTTAGAGATTATAGCCAACCTTCTCTGCCTCATTTCTGTGAATATTCAAATTTTGAGATAGCATGGTTTTTAAATTACAGAAAACCAAAAGGTGTGTTAGTTATGATCTGCCTATAAAATCTTTTACCAGTAGACATATGTCACCATCTTCTTTTGTGAGCTACAGTAGTACTGTCATAAGCGGACTTTCCTTCATCAGGACAGAATGGCCATTAAATGGAATAAAGAAACCTAGTTATGGCACTGTTGTTTTTCATGAATCAGAGCATATTCTCTTCAGAATATTCTGTTCTCTACATTTTCTGAGTCTGAGTTTGATTTATTCTGTTGTAATTCAATCTTTATTAGACTGACTTCTTTCTCAAGATTACTTATTAGTACAAAATAATCCATTATTTCTTCTGGGAAGTGAGACTGATAATGTTATCAACTTTGATTTGCTTTGGGATTATGTAACCGTTAAAGACTAGTATATATAAAAGTGCTTTTGAACAGTTAAGCATTATACAAATAGAATTACTGTGCCAGATTTTCAAAGTAGAATGTCACAGAGCTGTGGCTTTGATCTTTTCTCTCCTTTTTTTTTTTTTTTTTTTTTTTTTTTTTGGTACTGGGAATTGAACTCAGGATCTTGTGCCTGCCCTCAGGCAGGGCTTTGCCTGTATGCTAAATCCCCAGCCCTAATCTTTTTTCTCTTAAGTATACATTTAGCTAGATTTTACAAAATTATAGAATTACATATACTTACAGAAAATTAGAAACTACGGAAAAGTAGATTATGAAACCAATTTGTCTACAATTACTTATTTAATATTTACTAAGTACTTATTATGTGCTGGGCATTCTAACAGTTGACAGTATAAGGAAAAGCTAACGTCCTTGCTTACGCAGTGCTTAGAGTCTTTCTGGGAGACAGTGGGCAATGATAAACTTTGTATAATACTTATAATGGAAGAAACGTAAGTGCACATAGGTGCAAACAAAAGATCTCTAATCTACAACTGAATTTAGTGTTGGGGGAAGCTGCTTGGTGGGAATAAATTCTAAGGTAAGATCTCATGGTTGAATCCTAATTTAACTGTGCAGAGAAGAGACTGAAAAGTGTTGCAAGCAAAGTCAACACTGGGTGCAAAGGTTTGGAAGTGAGAAAAAAGCATTGATTGTTCGGGGAACTGAAAATAGATCAAGTGTCCTAAAGGCCATGTTCAGAAGGGTAGTAAGGAATGAGAATTAGGAGGTAAACAGTCTTAATTTCATTCTAAAGAGGCAGTATAGCCAGTGAAGGACTTTGAAGAGAGGAGTATGTAAACAGATTGGGATTTTGAGAAGTATCACTCTAGCTGGTCTTTGTAATGCTTGGCATCTCTTTTGTCATCTCTTACATCCAGATACATTCTTAATTCTCTCCCTTAAGTATATCTAGAATTTTTCTATTTCTGCCTACCTGCCCTTTGATCTCTTTGTTTCTTACTGTGTTTTTCTCTCATCTTCTAAGTGTTCTGTCTCCATTCTTGTTCCCTTTGGATCCTTTCTGCTCACCATAGCAAGAACGTTATTTTTAACATGCACATATATTAGTTGCTTCCCCACTTAAAACTCTAAATGTCTATCCATAGATTTCAGGATGAAGTTAAAACATCCTAATGTGACCTAACTCCCATCAATTTTGCATACTGAAGTCTTGCTCTGTACAGTACTTAGTCTCTAAGAGTTAGGGGTAATGCTTAAATTTGTGGTTTGGCAGCTGAATGGCTAGTGTCATTCAGTCATATAGAGAACAAAGGAGAAGACAAAGGTTTGAGAAAAAGATGAGTTCACCCCTTAATAATGATAATCTATCAGCATACTGTCATTTAAACACAGTGATAGAGTCTGTAAAAGAACAATCTACTTAGTAATTTCCCTTTGAAGAAAAGTTTAAGAAGTATGCTGAGATGGTGTTGGTACTCAACAAACAGTTGTTGGATGATGAGGTAAAAGAGATCAAAAAGGATCATTGACATTGAAAATTACTCTTTTCAAAACATCTTGTTTTTCAGAAATACTTACGTTTCAAATTAGAAATTGAGGTATTCTTAATTCATGTTTTCTGTTTTCTAGTGAGTTCACAGAAGTTTTTTTAAACTTTAATTTTTCTAGTTTGCTGAAATTATAGTGAAAACTTATATTCTTTCATGTCTTAATAATTTATTGTCTAAACAATACTTTGCTTTTCATTTCAGGAAAATTAAAATGTGAAGCAGTTATTGCTGATATCCTCGATAAAGGATCTGGCTTAGTAATTGTTTTGGATGGTAACTTCTTTACATTTCCTATAATGATATTGTTAGATTGATAGGATTTGTAGGTAACGTAGTATTTTTTAAATTTAATTTTAATTAGTATTATTTTGCAGTACATAATATGCAATATATATAAGTACCAGTTTCCCAAGATGAATGTTGTTGTTTTGTAACACAATATTTCATATGTAAACATAAATTAATGTTTACATTTATTTTCCATTATGTAAGAAAGCAAGATAAACATTTAAAACTTTTATAAGCTCTTTAAGAAAAATAAGGAAGAAGAATTAAGAAGGAACTGGACTGCAGCTAGGGCCTGAGAGGGTAAAGCATTGCAGTGAATGTAAACAACATTACCAAAGCGTGGAGCTGAGGACCATGGTTCATATTCAGATTATGGATGAGGATTATGATTGCTGATGCATATTTTTGGCAGATGAAATGTTAGCCTTCAGTTGATAGGCTTCATTGTTGATATTTCTTATGTTAGGTATTTGAAACTTGGAACATATTTAGCACAGGATCATTCTTCTAAATAGTAATTAGATTGCTAGACTTGTGCGTTTGTATCTGTTTGACACATAATGTTGTTTCAAATACCATAGCCATGTTTTACCTGCAGTGGGGAAAAAAGATTATAGTAATTTAATAAATATTGAAATACTAGTAATTTAATATAAGCTAAAGACACATTGCTTAAATTTTATTTTAAAGTTTAAGAAGAAAAACTTATAGTGAAAAATTTTAAAGTAAGGAATAGTGTAAAATTTAATATTACTTGATGTTTGGAATGTATGCCTTATAATTTCTATATAGTCACATGAAGCATACTTCTTGACTCACCAGTCACTGATAAACCTATTGTAAACTGATTCCCAACTACTCCAGAGGCTGAAGCAGAAGGCTCACAAGTTTAAGGTCAGCCTGGGCAGTTTAGTGCCAAGATCTTATCTCAAAGAACAATTTAGAAAGGACTGGGGTTGTAACCGAGTGCCCCTGGGCTCAGTTGCCAGTATCCTTAAGCAAAAACAAAAAGCACTGAATGCACCTAATACTAAACATCATAGCTTAGCAGCACAAAACAGTTATTTCCCTTCATGACTGCATGACTGACAGGGGGCTGCGGCTTCCAGCCATTACCCAGCCTTGCAGGAAATTTTCCTCTGAGTATTGCTAGCCTTGGAGGTAGGGATGGATACAATCAAGATTCAAAATTTGAAAGTGTTAATTTCTACTGAATACTTATGTACAGTATTCACACCATTGTAGAATTGAAAAATTATAAGTTAAAGCATTTAAAGTTGGAACTATCCATATAGAATATAGGACTTTGGAAGTTGGCTTTGTTTTCACTTAGTAATATGTTGAAAATATGGTTTGATATTCAAATATTATATATGTTTCTCTCCTTTTTCTTTTTTCTTTATCCTTTTTTCCTCTCTTTTGTTTATAGGTTTTTATACTTCTCATTCCAGGTGTTGGTCAACATTTGGCTAACATTTTCACATAACGTACCACAAAACAAGAGTCATTGAATACCCTTGCTTTGATCATTATCATTGTCACTTAATGTGTCCCATTTAGTTAACTACACATTGGTAATGGGTCACAAGAAATTGTAAATACAGCTTAGATCATAAGCTATCCCTGTTTCATGTTTCAATAAAGATAAAAATATTATTTTAAATGCAGATTGCCACAACTTACTGTTGTTGTAATTAGTTTTCGCCTTTGGTATGCAACTCAAAATAGTATTCCTTGTTTTTAAGAACTAGGTAGATGTTTAATTAGTAAGTGGAAGATCAGGTGTCTTAATTGTTTTTTATTTGCTGACTTGATTACTGATATAATTTATTTACTATTTTAATAGTTGACTTAATAATTACACTTCTATTTTTTTTTTTTTTTTACCTAGGCACTATTCTAATTTCTTGCACTATAATGTTGAACAGAACAGCTAAGACCCTACAACTACACTTGTTATATACCTTTATTTTATTTTCCTGTTTACATTCCGTGCTTTGACAGAACGTTTGCAAGTTTGTGTTTATTTTCATTTTCTGTTGCAGTTGTTTAAATGTTTGTAATGGAAAAAAGTTGAATTGTGAGTGGCAGTTTGGGGAGGTGTAGAAGTGAGAAAAACTGCTGTTTCTTGGTGCGGTGCTCTGTGAAGCCCTGCTTTTTTCTGTTCTTCACTCTGGTGGAGAAATGTATCCAATATGGTTGTTCCTGAAGAGCCCCTTCTGGAACTGGGTTTTGTTTTTGAAACTTTTTAAAAAGTTCTTGACCACATGTTAACTAGTTATGTGTTTTATTCATAACTCCTTTTGTTTTCTTCATAGTCTATGCTTATTCTGGGGAGGAACTTATATGCTACAATCAGTTTTCCGTGTTTGTTGTTGGCTCTGGGGGCTTTGGTGGAAAACGTACATCAGAAAAACTCAAGGTAAGGAATTTTTTAAAAATTGAGACATAATATTTGCACAACTTTAAAGGGTAATCATAGTAATTTAGTTCATGTATGCAATATGTAATAATCAAATCAGAAGAGTAAATATTTCCATCTCTTCAAACAACTGTTTTTGTTTGGGAGTTTCATATTCTTTATTTTTAGTTATTTTGAGATACAGATTGTTTTAACCTATAGATACTCTACTGTGCTTAAGAAGAAGCAGAAATAAATCTTCCATTCTGTGTCTAAGAACCCCCTAATTGAGATTGGGGATTTAGCTCAGGGGTATAAGCACCTGTCTGGCAAGCATGAGTTCGATCCCTGGTACCAAAAAAAAAAAAAGAAAAAAGAAAACCCTAATGAACTTTCTGTTCTCCTTTCCCAATCCCTTTGCAGTCTTTATAACTGCTTTTTTACTCTGTTCTTCTACATACTTGATTTACTAGTCTCCACAAATGAGTTATAATGACCTCCAGTCCTGTCCATTTTGCTGCAGATGACAGGATTTAATTCTTTCTATGGCAGAGCAATCAGTCTCTCTCTTTTCCCTCCCCTCCCTGCTCCTCTCTTTCCTTCCTTCTTTTCTATCCATCTATCCCTTCCTCCCTCCCTCCATCTATCCATCCAACCATCCATCATGTATTACATTTTCTTTAGCCATTCATCCTACTGAAAGACATCTGAATTGACTCCATATTTTAGCTATTGTGAGTTGTGCTACAATAAATATGGAGAGTACAGTTTTTTTTTTTTTTTTTTGTCTTTTTCATTTTTATCGGTACCGGGGTTCGAACTCACGACCGCCTGCTTGCAAGGCAGGTGCTTATGCTGCTGAGCTAAATCTCCAGCCCCAAGAGTACAGTTTTTTTGGTATAATATTTTCATTCCTTTTGGATATATATAAGCAGTAGTGGAAATGTGGGATCATATGTTAATACCATTTATAGTCTTTGAGGAGTTCTCATTATGGAAAAAAATGATGTTTTCCCTAATTTCTGTGTAATATAAATGCTATCTGCAGGATATGAGTTGTGCTCTTCTCCATGTGTTGTCTTTTAACCATATACATTTTAGTGGGCTGACACAATGTCATGTGGCTTTGATTTGCAGTTTTCTGGTGATAGTGACAATGAACATTTTTTCATGTATTTGTTGGTCATGTGTTTTTCTTTACAGAGGACTCTGTTTAGATTGTTTGTCTTTGAGTTCCTTATATATTCTGAATATGTGTCTTTTGATCAGATGGATAATCTATAGATATTTTCTCCTAATCTGTAATTTCTCTTACACTAACAGTCTTTTGTACTAAATACAGTCTTATTTAGAACAGTAGTGAAGAGTGACTTCTAGAATGATCACAGGAGGAGCTTCTTACCAGTGAAACAGTCAACTTCACCATGCTTGATGATGGTGATGCTTGCACAGCCATGTGACTACTAAAACCACTGCATTGTCAGTTTAAATGAGCTGTATGTGAATTACATGTGAGGACAGCTATTCAAGAAGTAATATTGATGAATACTTTATAAAAACCATATTTTAGACCTGCATTTAAAAGTGTGTTGTTTCTTGCTCACGTGTGGGCAAATTACTCTTGACAATTTTAGGTTACTACTTATGTGGGACTGTGTCTTTCCAGAGTTGCATCCACAGTGATGTAAGTTGTGTACCGTATCAGTATGTGCATTGTGGTCTTATTCACTCATTTTTCAAACTTTTAATGAATATGTTATAAAGGGAAAAATATAAATCTGAGCTTATGTTAGGTGAAGTAAAAATAACATACTATTTGTTTTTTTCTCCTTTTCTTTTTTAATGTGGTGCTGTGGATTAAATCCAGCGCCTGGTGCATGCTAAGATGCAAATGATCAGTTATGTAATGTTCATTTTTAATGTTGAGTAACAAGTACTGTGGACCAGCCAAGAATCTAGCTAGACTCCCTTCTCTAGATGTATTTGCAGTAATTGAACAGAAGCCCCTCAGTAGTATCTTTGTTGCCTTAGCAACAGTACAACTGGTGGTATATCATCATGAAGCCCTATGTTGCTAACTGGTTGCTGTCATATTAACTGTAAAACTGTTCTGGCACCCTGCCCACCTTACATGCCCCTAGCATATATATATCTTTCTGGCTGTTGCTAACAATTGATTTTGTGAAATATGAGTTACTAAACAAACTTAGAAGACAGCCCAGAACTACTTACCCATAAGACTTAAGAATGAAATCTGCTCCCAAATATCACTGCACCAAACATAGTAGAATGACTTGAAAATAAATATATAAATAAAAACCTCAAAATGCACTACATGTGACTGCAATAAAAAAGGGATATAGTTCATTTTTAACAGAGCCTCTTGTTTGAAAAATAGTAACTTTCCCAGTGATTTTGGTATGGGTATGTCTTTAAGGGTGAGTTTGGGAATATATCTGAGCTTAGCATTTTAAAAGTGAAAAATTGCTAATTCTTTCACATTCTGAAAGAATAAAAGCTGACTTTTTGTAAAAATTTACCCTAATGGAGACAAAATGAATAATATATTGTTTCTCTTATAAATTATTGAAAAGTTGATACCAGCTACTTGAATATAGTTTAGCTGATGAGGATGTTTTTATGTTGGTTTTCAACCAAAATTTATGCTCAAATCTGTACTTGGTACCTGGTACTAAGTTTTCATCTGTAGTCTTAAATCTTGGTATTAAAACATCTTAATAATCGATTCTTTTTGGTAACTGAGTTTAAATGTATAATTTTGTTAAGATGGCCAATTAAAACAAGAATTTTTAAAAACCAATTTACAGATTGAATCAATTTAGATTGATTTTATGTCTAATTATTGTTACAGGTTTTCACACAGGAAAAATGTAACTCTTTCTTCTTTGGGACAGGAGAGTGGGTCTGATTATATAGTTGCTTACATTAAAGAGGGCATTTAAAGCAGGCATGGTGTCACATGCTTGTATTTCCAGCACTCCAGAGGCTGACGGGTTGAGAGGCAGGAAGTTTGCTGTGAGTTTGAAGCCTCCTGGGCTACATGGTGCATTCAAGACCAGCCTGAACAATACAGCAAAACCCTGTCTCAAAAAGAAAAAGAGAGCGAGAAATAAAAATAAAAAGGGTCACTTCAGGGAAATTATAATGTATATGAAGCTAGGAGTTAAGGAACTTAAAATGCCATTGTCTCCTAAAATATTAAACAGAATATTAAGTAAAAACATCTTTTATCCAATTCATAGTTTATTCTTTGAAGCATGATGGTTTTCTTTTATAGAAAGGATACCGTAGTATTTGAGATTTAACCTATAATGTCTTATGATTCTAGGTGGCTGTAGCCATTCCAAGTAGACCCCCTGATGCTGTAATTACAGATAATACCTCACTTGATCAGGTAAGATTGCATTTTTCAGAAGTGATAAATCCACCTGGCTGATGGTGCATTTTAAATTTATAACTCTGATTCTCTATACTATTAACATTTTTATGAATGCATTTTATTAATACATGTTTGCAGTGCACGATGATTATTTGTTGTGGGGTGTTTACACAGGTGCATAACACATCTTAGTTCTTTTTTATTCCCTTCCCTTTCCACCTCTCCCTGTACTTGCCAACTCGTAATCCCATTTCCAGTTGAGAAAGCTCTATTTCTATTTTTTCCTTTGATTTTTTTTTTAAAATCCTTTTCCCCTTCTTTTTTCCTTCCCTCTATCTCTCATTCTCTTTCCCATTTGAAAAAGATCTTCCTACTTCATATTATTTATCGTTTTGCTTTTTATTTATATTTTGGGCTTATATGTATAAGAGAAACCATGCAGTATTTAAACTTTTGAGTGTCTGATTTTATTTCACTTAGCATTGTGGTTTTGAGTTGTGTCCATTTACCTAGTGGTGCCTGTGTCTTCTGCATGATAAAAACGAAAGCTTGTTTCCTCTGATTGAAACTCATTCTTTCAAAATTTTTAGTTGTCAGTTTTTTCTCCGTTACCTATCAAAAGAAGATATTCTCCAGCTTTCTTTAGTCAGTTCCAAAAACAGTGTGCTTTGTTGAATATGGAGTGCTTTTCTTAAAAGAGACTGGATAACTTAATAGTGGAGAATTTCACGAAAAGACTAGAAAATAGATTAAATATGGGCTAAAAGACAAGTTTTAGTCAACCTTACCCATCAGAAAACTGCCACATTACTTGGAAATAGATTATTTGATGCTAACTTTAAAGTACAGGTGAAATAAAACATCTTAGGTCCGTACGATTCAGTCTTTTTCGTTTGCCATAAACAGTTTGTCAGATATTGAGATAAATATCCTGTAAGTTCACAAATTCTGGAGCATGCTGTATTTAAGATACAACCAAACCTGGTGGTGCAAACCCTGTAATCCAGCAGTTTGGGAAGCTAAGGCAGGAAGACCACAAGTTCAAGGCCAGACGGTACAGTTTAGCAATAAATGAATAAATCAATGCGTGAGAATGTATCTCAATGTAAATTGAATCCTCAGTACTATTGTTTTTTAAAAAAAAAGGCAACCCTAAAAGCATTTTTTTGGTGTTTTTTTTTTTTTTTTTTTTTGAGGAACTTAAAGATTTTCTTCTAAGGGAGCCAGAAGACTAATGATGTAGATATAGCAGAGAATTTTAAGACTGGAATTGTGTTATATCTGTGAATGTATATCCTATCAAATTTTTATAATGCTCACTTTTTTATGTTAATTTTAGCATGTTTGATGTGAACGTGTGCAGAGCTTGTTTTCTCGCAAGTAGAAATACAATTTTAACAAGAATCAAGGTTTATACTTATTTTTTTGTGTGCTCCAAATAATCAGGTGATGGAGAAAGACTATCATTTATCCTTAGATTAGTTTTTTCCTTTTTAATATTCGTATCTCTTGCTGATTTTTATCAGTTTCTTAGGACTGTACTCACTTATATAAAGCCTGACGGATTGATTTTGTTAGGATAGAAGAGGCTCATGGTTCAGAATACCCAAAATACTTCTTTATTATTCTTGGGTTATACTCAAATAAATGTATAGTTTTCAGCATTTGTGTTTGTACATAATAAGTAGGATTTCCTTTTTTTTTTTTTTTAAACCTCTTTAAATCAGTTTCTTTTATATACAGAGTGGGCATTCATCATTTGACAGAGGTTATTGATTTTTGCCATGTAATCATTTGATAATGTGATGAAAATTATATACATTTCTTTGAAAAACATTTTACAACAAAAGTTTGCATACATTTTAGGGAATATATGGGTTTTCTGAAATTCAGTGGGAAATACAAACCAAGTTGAACAAATGCCATCATTTTCAAGGAATGGAAAGGCTACTCAAGTTGTAGATGTCTGAAGTGACCAAGGTACCTATTCCAAGGCATAAATGAGTAAGCTCAAGGGATTGATTTATAGAGAAAGTACTATAGTCCCCTAGAGAAGGTATACATACTTGGAAGAGAGATGAAGAAGGGTTTGGTAGTGAAGAATAGACCTTGCTAAATAAACTAAGGTGGTACAATATGTAGATGTTCTCAGAAACATTGGACTCGCAGTTTATTAGGGAGGGGGACTGAGAATAATGATAGAATGAAGGAAAAAAGAAAAGCAGCAGCAAAATAGCTAAAAATTAGTAAAGCTTAATATATTAGTAATAATAAGGAAGAAGGAAAATGAATAAAATGAAATTTGAAAGTGAAAAGGAAGACAAGGAGAGAAAAGTGAGATGAAAAGTCTGATTATAGAATAATAGAAAGTTAGTAGGAGATGAGGGACATCTGCTGTGTTACTGATCACTGACGGGGTGGTGTCTCTTCCCCTTCCCCTCTCCATGTATGTCCCTCCAGAAGCTGGGTGCTCTCTCAGTGTCAGCACTTTGAGGCCCAATCTGTTTAAAAACCACATGACCACCCTGGCCTCTCGCCACAGACAGTGAGATCTCCACATTTTTCATGTCCTGAGCCTCACTGCTGCTTAATCTCACAGGATCTGTGATAGCCTACCCGTTGTCCATGGCTGTCGCCCTCCCTGGCACTGTAGTAGGGTAACCACAGAGACTTTTGATTTCCACAGTAGCTCACTTTTAGACAATAAACCCCTTTCTCAGATCGCTTCTGATTGTATCGCTCCAAGTATGGTGAATGCTGCTAGTGAATTTCTCTTCCAGCTTTAGGCTGACACAGTAAGCAGTGTGAGTAAAACCCTGGGCTGTATGTGCAGCTTATGATAACCGGGGACATGTCTTGGAGCAGCACAGTGGTTCTGCATATTTCTCTAGTGTGCTGCTGACATTCTGGGCACCCTTTGTGTTTGTGGAAATAGGAATTCTGGCAGCGGAGTTAAGAGTGCTGGACAGCTTTGTTCTTTATGTTGTATTTATTGTCTTCATTTCCTCTGTGGTTTTCCTTCTGACTGTTGTTTTCTGGAGTGCTACTTCTTTTTCTCTTCACTGTTATTATTTTTGGTTCTCAGTTTCAAGTTCTAGAGAAGCTGTATTTTGCTGCCAGACTTTACTCTGCCATTTTTAATCTCCAGTTCTATTCACTACAAGGATTTGGCCCTTATTTTTGGTTTCACTTACAGTAACTTTGTATAGATGAAGAGTGCTTTACCTCTGTGTTTTTTGTAGATAAGGTTGATGGTTTGGGATAGTTTCCAAGATCAGTTGTTTGAAATTGCCATTTTTCTATGTGGCAAAGTACAGTTTCTTTAATGGATGGCATATAGTTACGGGGTATTTTGGGGAGATGTTTCATTTAAAAATTTTTCTTTAGTTTTATTTACCTTTTAGGATCATAAATTTGCTTTACCACACAGTCCTCAGAGAGAATCTATTTTTTAGAAATGATGACTTTCAGAGATTGTCATTTGCAGTCCTTTACACTTTTAGTTCTTTTATCTATAGTTAGTGCTATAGTCTCTCAGGTTTCTTTTTAGTGTTGTTACTCTCATAGTGGACTTTATCAGGGAGTGATTTTCCCTTGTTTCCTCTTCTCTCTTCTGTGTTCTGCTTCTAACATGGTCCTCTCCAAGCCATCCACACTGCACTGTGGCTCTTGGAGGTTGCTGAAGAATGGAGCAGCTGGACATTGGTGCTTATTTTTCTATTATTAGGATATGAAGTTTTGTTTTGTCTTTTTAAAAAAATTTTTTTTAATTAATTTTTTATCAGTACCAGGGATCGAACTCACGACTGCCTGCTTGCAATTGCTTATGCCGTTGAGCTAAATCCTCAGCCCTAGGATATGAAGTTTTATGTTCTCTGCCGACTGCTCACACACACTGTAGGCCTGAGATTTGTGTGGCTGTGGTGATTCTTGTTGATCTGTGTATTTTTTTTGGAGGATATGTTGATTTAAGGAGTAATGAACCACTTTAGCATTTAAGCTTAACTTAATGGTAAATATTTAAAAATCAAATCAAGAAATAACTTATATTCAGAAAACCCTACTGCCCACGTTTATTGCACAAGTAAGACAATATGTAGCAATTTTCCTTTTCTTTCTTTCATTGTTTTGGTTGTGATGATTTTTCTATGTTAAGAAGAATGGAAGAAACAAGACAATTTTAGCTTTCTTTTTGCAATATGCCAGCTATTTAAAAATTATAAAATGAGGCTTAGCCTCGTTCCTCACTTATTGGAGAATATTTACTGAATTAAGTCCAAAATCCAGTCATCCATTTGGCTGTGTCATTTTCTGTGCTGGATCTGTTGTCTTTGCTAACTGCTATCTAACAATGCCAGCATTGAACTCATGTGAATTTCATATTAATATATTTGCTTACAGTACTTTTTTTTATTTATAGGAACATTATCTGAGATACAAAAACTAGTACTAATCTTTAAGCCTTGCTTGACTTAATTGTCAGTATCTTTAAAAAATAGCATTTATTGAAACATTAATATTTATCATAGCTGATGCCTTGTGAGTTTTACCCCGTTTACTTTTTTAATTTGCTGTGAAAGTAAATCCTTATAGACTTTCAGTGGTTTTCAAAAAAAGAGATGATTAAGGGCTAACATAGTGAAGAATCTGCCCTTAATAGGCAGTTAGATGCAGTTAGATGTGAATCTGGGTCTGCCTGGGTGCTAGAGGCCATTTGTCGGTGATGTATCTGACAGCTTCCCTTTGAGGCCGGAAATGTATTGTCTTTGATTTGTGAACAACATGACATTATTTGCACAGTATTTCACTGTTTGTAAAATGCTTTTTAAAATTTAATATTCTGGTGTTCAGTAGATATTAATTTAGTTATATTTAGAAGATATATTGAGTCACTTGAAAAGTAAATAACTTATAAAACTGTCTTATGTAGTAATGGGGAAAGAAAAGAGCTTATTATAATTATACAACACACAAGGAAATTAAATTTTCTTCTGAATTATAGAAAGTGTTATTTTCTGCAAATCAAACTTGTTAAAAATAGTAATTTTGGGGGCTGGGGGTTTAGCTCAGCGGCATAAGCGCCTGCCTTGCAAGCAGGCAGTCGTGAGTTCCATCCCTGGTACCGATAAAAACGAAAAAGACAAAAAAAAAAAAAAATAGTAATTTTAAAAGTCAAATGTGCTGGCATGGTTCATCTTTACATAACATTTTAATAGTTTTGGAAAATTTAAAGCAATATTTGATGTGAAATGGAAGTTTTGAGGTCGACCCAAAAGGGTCAAGTTAATGGATTTCTTAAATATCTACCATTAGTTGTTTTATGACTTTCTTTGCTTTAATTCTCAAAAGTATTCTGTTAGCTTAAAAAATGCATAATTTAAATGCCAAGGAAGTGACTTTTTTTCTGTTACATCTAAATCTTTCTACTAATTTTACTTTAAGTAAATTATTGATGTGAAAATCTAGATTAACCAGAGATTTAAACATATTGGCAACCAATCAGTCTGTTTTCTTGCAGGATAGACAGATACTCAGGATTTAGTATAATAGAGGAATGAAAGATTGTGAGAAGTCTTTGGCATTTATGGTCTAACATTGTGTTATAGACTTCATTTAAAATACCCTATTAAGAAAGCTGGTTAGAAGAGACTCTAAACATATTTTACCTTATCTTCTTGTGGTTTAATGAGAGTAGATTGATGAATTCCTTTTGGGAGTTGTCCTCAGGCAGTCAGGTGTAATTCTAGACTTCCTTTTCTATTATTTGACAACCCCATCCTACCCCTTTAATGATTTTAGTGTCAGTTGTTGCTAGAAACATTTAATTTAGAGATAATCTTTCTTTTTCTTTTCTTTTTTTTTTTTTCTGTTCTAGTAATCTAACCCAGGTTACTGTGTGAGTGAGGCACATTTCCAGTGTGGTTTTTTTGTGTTTATTTCTTTGGAGGGGTACTGAGAACTGAGCTTGGGACCTTACACTTGCCAGGCAGGCATTGTACCACTGAGCTAAATCCCTAACCCTCCTGTTTTTTGTTTTTTTTTTAAAGAGATAGTTGTTATAAAAATCAGAATCTGGATTAGGTACATTTTGATGCATATGTTATATAAAATCCAGCTGTGTTTCCTCTTCTTCACTGAATATTTTCTTAAAAAAATTAGTGCTAGAACTATCTCTTAATTCTTTCATCACAGGCTGCTTTGTACCGCCTCAGTGGAGACTGGAACCCTTTGCATATTGACCCTAACTTTGCAAGCCTTGCAGGTGAGTTGCTAGTATGTATAGTGAAAAATATTAGCTGAGTTATATAAATAATAAAACACACTATTATTTATGATCAGTAATTTGATTAACATTTTAGAAATAGTTCTCATTATTTTTAAGTAGAGATTATGGAAAGGTTGGATGTAATGTTGAGAAAATGGCATACTTGAAATTTAGTTTATGGTGTACTGAAGCTTCTGTGTATGCCAACTGCAGGACCAGACTATGGACAAGGATATGAGAGACAGCAGGAGATGAGGCCACTGACACAGGACCCCAAGATGAGGGAGGGCTCGCTGGTCTATATGGCACTGAAGTAAATCACTACCAGGGATTATCATGGTCTTTGTGTTCCCAGATCTCTCACATTCTTTTCCTGTTTTTTGTTGATTTTTCATAATCTCTCCCCTAAAAAGTATTACTTACAGAATATTTTCCATTTTTCTTAAATTAGATGGTATACTTTATTGTATTTCAGTTTAAAGTTGTATTTTTAAAATTTTGAATTAACTTGGTTTTTAAATAAGAAAAGTCCTTACTTTCATCTCAATCCCTTTTTTTTTCTTAGGTTTTGAGAAGCCCATATTACATGGATTATGTACCTTTGGGTTTTCTGCCAGGCATGTTTTACAGCAGTTTGCAGATAATGATGTGTCAAAGTTCAAGGCAATTAAGGTACATGCATAATTTGGACATTAGTTCTTTCTCCGTCATTAAAGAAAAGGAATTTTATGACTTAAGATAATTGCTACACTACGGCAATGTATGTTTTTATTATTTTATCGAGTTGACAATTGGCACATTTTCTTTTTGTAAGTATAATTAACTGTATTAACCAGGCACCATATTATAGTTAACACAGGTTTAACAGATTAATTGGTTTTATAAATAACTAGGAATATACATATATCAACATATATGCTTAAAAACTTAAGATTTACTATTTTTTCTAAAATTTGCCTTAATTTATCTGAAAATATTAGGTGAATATATATATATGAACTCTTAATAAATATTTACCTGTGGTAATAGCTACATATTACTTGTAATTTTTTTTATGTTTTTGTTGATTTTAAGATTTATCCATTGTAAACAAGGAAAGTATCTATACCCTGTATTTTCTTGTAAGTCAAAGATGTACACTTAACCCATTTAAGGCCAGTTCCAAAATCTTTTATTAGTATATATTTTATGTGTGCAACATTGAAAATGCATTTTCTGATGCCTTGCCCTTGATAAGACTGATTATTCTAATACCTTTATTTTATTATAGCTATTTTATTATCCAGTAATGTATATACAGAGCCAATGTATAATATTTTTCTATAAAATGCTATAAAAAATATGAACTAAAAAGTAGAATTATTTTGCCATGTGTACCCTTCCCGGGCCTCATTCCTCTGTATTGAATAAATACCATCTTTAATTACCTGTGTAATTACTCAGTATAGTTTTGTTTCTTGATAGGTCAAGAAAAACTATTGCTTAATAATTCTGTATGGTTTTTTGTTTTTTGGTACCCGGGATTGGATTCGGGTTCTTGTGCTTGCCAGGCAGGAGCTTATGCCGCTAAACCAAGTCCCTAGTCCAATAATTCCATGTTTTGAAACACAAAGAATTTGTTCACTGTTTTGGTATTTGGTATGCTTTCTTTACTAGCTTCTTCATATTATTTTTAGATATTTCACTAGTCTAAATATATTTAAACCATTTTCTTCCTTTTATGCACTCTGACCTAACACCCCACCACACACAAGTAGTTTCTTAAAGCATTTTTAATTCTATACCCAACTTGGTTTTTTTCTTTTTTTTAAGGTTCGTTTTGCAAAACCAGTATATCCAGGGCAAACTCTAAAAACTGAGATGTGGAAGGAAGGTAACAGAATTCACTTTCAAACCAAGGTATGGAAAGAGCTGGAGGTACTTTTCTTACTTCTGTAGCACACTCTGTCCTTGTGTTTCTCTCACCATGGTTTCTTCAATTTTTTTTTTTTTGTAATATGGATATGAGGTAAAATTTAGAAAGGTTTTTTTTTTTCTTTTAACCAATGATAGTTTGTAAATATCCTGAAATAAGCCAAAACTAGTTAATGTCCTGTAGAACAATCAAATTACATTCTTCATAGTTATTTTACTAGACAGAAATTACTTGCTTCTTGATCATGTAGTAATCCACAGACTTAACATTTTGCATTGCAGTCTGGACCTAATAGTAAGTAACAAGCCAAATGAAGGTGTGTTACATTAAAAAGACATTCAATCAGTGCTTTAAGTTTAAGTTTTTAGGAAATAATTCTTAATACATTTAAACAACTAACACTTTTTGGCATGATGATTTTTGTATTACATAGAGCAGGTTTAACAACTCCAACAGTAATAGTAACAATTTTTATTTATTGAGGTACTATACAGAGACTATATTACTGTGCATAATGTATGTAATTATAGCATTGAAATGTACAAATATCTATGTTCATAAAAACATCTTGATGTTGGAGAGAAATAGATGGTGGTTTGTTAGGGGGCTGGGTGCAGAGTCTCTGCGGAGAAATCAGATCAGATGCTAGAATATGACAACATGGAGAGGGCCAGATGAATGGATAACAATTCTTATTAACCAAGGCGGTAACTGAAGGGAAAAATAAAAGTAGGATGAGGAAGAAAAAGTGCGGGTGAAGAGCTGAAGCCCGATGTGCTCACTGAGCCCCGTTCTGCGCTGTACTAGGCACGCCCGAGCATCCAAGGTTGTGCTGAGACCACGGCTGCCGATAATGGGAGGCAGCGAATCCCAGGCCCTTAATGGGAGAATGCGGTGCAGTGAGCAGTGGATCCAAGGGAAAGAGCTACATTGGCTCTTGGCGACTGCTGGAAATTGGGACTGGGGCCCTGCGAAGCAGCCAGAGCCACCTGGCCATGCCGGAGGAGATGGTGAGAAGCTCCTGGGCTCCAAAACCAGACACTATGCAGTTTTCTGACTGATCCACGCTGTGCGGGGAACTCAGTGAAGACATGTGGTGCAGTGTGCAGTGGACCCAAGAGGAAGGTCTGCATTGATTCCCGGTGAGTGCAAGGGATTGGGTCTCGCGGCTGCTGTCACTGGCTGGAGGACATCTTGGAATTGGGCAGAGCCCAGTGCTGCGGCAGCATCATTGACACAGGGAGGACTGCTGGAGGACATCTTGGAGTTGGGCAGAGCCCGACGCCACAGTGACATCAGATAGTCGCCTCTGGCACAGAGAGGTCTGGTGGAGGACAGCTTGGATTTGGGCAGAGCCCGGCACCGCGGTGACATTAGCCGCCCCTGGTGCAGAAAAAACTGGCAGGGTCTGCTGGGGCTGAACTACGCCTCTGGTTGGGACCCAATAAGCAGATACAATATTGTTGCGACTCTGTGACGTCCACAAGGTACAGTCTAACTTGTGGATTGACTGGCACAGAGGCTGGAGGCTAGCCTGCACCGTCCCTGCATTCCTGCCTGTACCTCAGATAATAGCAAATTGGGGAGGGCAGCAAAAACTCCAGTCAGCACGCTTTGGAAAGACCCTAAGCACTATGGAGAGGGCCAGAGACCTCCAGGACACACCAGTCTGAAAGAAACCAGAAACATGACAAGAGATAGAAATCAAAAAAAAATCACCAGCTGCCAAACCTGGGAAAATAAGCCCAGCAGAAGCAAATACAGAAGAGAACCAGCACAGTAACCATCCAATACTAGACACAGCATCAGTGGATATAAAGAAATACCTTCATGACCTCATAGACAAATTTAAAACTATACTTCTGATCTAAATGAGGCAGATATAAAGAGATTAAAGAAATGATAAGCCCCTCCCAAGAGAACACAGATGGAAGAACGGAGGAAATCAGAAAAGAAAGAGAAATGTTTGATGAAGAATTTAAACATAACCTAGAATACATGAAACAGATCCAAAGAGATTACCAGAAAACTAAACTCTCCTTTGAAAACTGGCAAAATGCCTTGACAGAAACTAAAATTAGCCTTTTGAAACTTAAAGACAGATTTATGATATATGATCACGAAAGAAAAGACCTCTTAAAAATAACGAGGAACCAGAAAGAAACAATTCAAAGGCTAGAAGATGACAAATGGATACATAACTTAAGAATAAAGCATGTGAGCAAGGAAGCAGGAGTAACCAAAAATGAACTACAAAGAATATTCACAGATATATTAAAGGAAAACTTCCCAAGCATAGGAAAAAGAAATCATATCCAGATAAATGAGGCATACAGAACTCCAGCCACCTACAACCAAAATAGATCTACACCCAGACATATAATAATCAAGATTCCAGAAATCCACCAAAAGAACAGAATACTAAAAGCAGCCAGGGAAAAGAAGCAGATTACCTACAATGGGAAAATTATCAAAATAACAACAAACTTATCAACAGAAACTCTCAAATTGAGAAGAGCCTGGGGGGGAAATTATCCAAGCCCTGAAAGAAAATAATTTACAACCAAACTGATGTACCCAGAAAAACTCTCTCTCAAAATTAATAGAGAAATAAGATGTTTTCGAGACAAGGAGGAACTGTGGGTGTTCATGGCCAACTACCCAACCCTACAGAGAGTGCTGAAGGACATTCCAGAGAGAGAGAGGAAAGGATACCAGGATTTCAGCAACAGTGGCAAAGAGGCCTCAATGAATGGGGCAGACAGTGGAATGAGGAAGTAAGGTGGACAAATTACAGCAGTAAAGTGGAGTAGCAGACATGAGGCAGAGATGGTAAGCTATATTCTTTAATATAGATAGCCTTGATATACTAAAAAAAAACCAGGCAGAGTAGATTAGGAGACAGGCTCCATCGAGATGCTCTGAATGGGAAATACACTCAACCTGAAGGAGGGTTAATAAACTGAAAGTCAAAGATGAGAAAGCAAAGCTATATACTACAGGAAACCAGAGAGAAATCGGGACAACTCATCCAGCAACCGCAGATAGATTGGAAAGCTATGACACTTTTGGGCAGTATAGAACTACACAGCTGGAAGGAAGGAAAACCTTATGACTTTAGTTAGTAAAGGAGTACAGCTCAAGATCAAGCTCAGGGATACAAAGGTTCAGCAATGCTCAGATAGACAACGGGCTGGCCCCCTAATCTAAAAACTAAAGGGACTAGTGAGACCCAAAACATATAAAGCATCCTAGGAAGGGGAAAGGTGAAAAATAGCCTAAAAAGGGAAAGCAGAGGACATTGTTAATAGTGTGTCAGGATTTAAAAGTCACAGTAGTCTTATCACTCTGTTTAGTTTGATTGTATTTTGTTCCGGTCTGTCCACTCACTCCTATCAGATTTGAGGACACAGACATCTAACCCAAAAATAGGTTGTACCATGGTAGCTATCATTCATTTCCTATTAACTGAAACCCTGTGTTACTTACATTGTCTTACTATGACTGATCTTATTTGAATTTGGTTTGTTAGACTGCGGTTTTGCCTTGCCTGATTTTATTTGAATTTGGTATGCTTGATAGTATCAAGTCTGAAAGTAGAGGCAGCTGCTCTGAAGATGACAAAATGTAAAAGATATCCATACTGGTTTTGATTATTAAGTGCTCTCAAGTCCTACAATGTTTTCAAAGTTGTGTTTTATAAAAATAGCTATGTAATACTATGCTTAACTATATTAAGCCTGATGATGTGGACATGTCTATTGAAAATAACAAAAGAAAGCATAGTAACTGTGGTAGATCACCTAATATTGTGGTCTTATGTGTCTTTTTCATTGCATGCTTTTCTAGGAATTTGTTTTGCTGCCTTGTTATGATTTGTTTTTCCCTATAATACAGAGAGGATAGATATACATGTAGAAATTCACACATGGGAAAAATTTTTTAAATTATTTATGGGAACAGATTATATAATGCAAGATGTAATGAACAGATACTCTGAAGAAGAGACACTAAGAAACCCAATGCTAATTCCGTAACATTATGATATAAAATCTAGCAATACTGTTATTCACTGTTCAGAGTGATATTAGTCTAGTCTCTGAAGTTCAGTTTCAGCATACGTAAAGATAAAGACAGCTACTATGAAGAGAATGAGAGACACTGTGGTAGTCATTATTGTCTTCCCCAATGTCAGATCTTGAAGACCTAAAAAGCCTTCATCATCCTGTAATGATTTGATTAGTTCTATAATATGCAGTATGTTTTCAATGTGTGTGCACATGGGGACAACTTGGAAGAAAACTAGAGACAATAAGATAGACAGTGAAGATCTCCAGTGAACTTGCTTTGAAATCTGTATTTCTTTAAATTGTTTATTTTTGAACTGTTTTGTGCTGTTTTGATATGTTTAATCTTACTCCCTTTAAGATAAAAAGCAAGTGTGTAGGACTGATAACCATATTAGTAAGTTTTTGTTGGATCATTGAGCAAAACTGTTCACAGTGTCACTATTTGAAGGTCACTTTACATACTTTAATTTTGTGACCTGAACAACTATTTCTAAGACGACAATATATAAGTTATCAACTGGTGATTTCTTACTGTTTATTTTTCTGTAGTTCTGTATTATTTCTACCCTTTTTTCCCTTCATTTTATTTTGTTTCTTTCTCTTTAAATAAAAAAAAATTTGAAAAAAAATCTTGATGTTGTTAATAAGTTTCTCACAGCTACCCAGAAAGAGGTTGAGCTGGGATTAAAAACTCAGGTCATCTTGGCTCCCAAGGTGAAATTCTAGGGCTCTAGAACTTATTATTATATCTTCATCTTTTTTCCCCCTTCTATCACTGGAATTTTTATTTTATATTTTCTGAAAGAACTGTTGGATGTAAGTGTAGATTCTTATATATAATTCTGTAATACATACAAAAATTGGTTACCGTATTGAGAAAATTTCACTAATGTAAAATTAAGTATGTACTGTCTTAACTTCTAGAAATTATCTTTTGTTTTTGAAGCAATATTATAATTTTTTTCTTTTTTCTTTTTTTTGTTCCTGAGAATCAAACTCAGGATCTTCTGCTTGAAGGCACTGTGCCCCTGAATTATATCCCTAGCCTAACACTGTAATTTTTATGAAAGAATTGTCATTTGATAATTTGAAATAAAGGATAAGGAATTAGTATTGATTAATGACTATTTTCATAAAAGGACAGACATTCGTTTTATGCCATGTATGCTTCTAATTTGAAATAACTTGAATCACTACATTAATAGCACTATTACTTGTATGTTCCTAGCTAGTTTTATGCTGTATTACTAGAAAAAAATGTGCTGTGGGTAGGTATTGTGTCATGTCTTCTACTATTTATAAGAATTTAACACTTCTCACCTTGGCTCCCTATTAAAAATACTTATATTTGAAAAAAAAATTTCCCAAAGGCCGGTGTGGTAGTTCCATTGCTGGCCATTTAAACTGATATTTTAGGCAATAGGGCCAGGTCATATATATGTATTTTTTTAGGGTGTCAGTTGATTTACTACCAGGGTTAATAATAACAATTATATTAAATACAAAACCTTCATGTTTATTTTACATTACTAACATTTTATTTGGGTTATTTTCTTTTTCATAGGAAACCAAAATATAAATTCATTTTAAACGAGTAGCATTTCACAGAGATTGTTTCCCATTAAGTTCTCAAATTAACTCTTCTTTTTCTTGTTTTGTTCTACTTATAAGATTCTAGAAACTGGAGATATTGTTATTTCAAATGCATATGTAGATCTTGTACCACCATCTGATCTTTCAGCTAAGACACACCCTGAGGTAGGTCATAAAATCTGATATCCAAATCATTTCCTTGCTTTTGAATTTGTTATGATCATTTTAAGAATGTTCAGGCTATTTTGAAAATGAAAGAGTATGAATAGGTTTATAGCTCTTGATGTGAAGGACATTTTTTAGGAGAAAGTAATTTTCTAATTTTAGTGATTTAAATCAGTTGTTTAATTAGAAACCTTAAAATATATTGGATAAAAATAGGTGAAAAATATAAGTATCGTATATCTTTTTTTGATTTAAATATTTGTATTAAAATGTGTGCTGTATATAAATATAAAAATAAGAATATATAGTATTTATTGAAACATTTGTATCTTAACACGCTGAATGAGACATTTGATAAAAATGTTTATTATTCGTTTTCAAAATACTAACTTGAAGATGTTGAGGTTTTATTACCTATGGGCTTTAATTTTCTGTCATAAACCATTTTATCATATAACTGACTGAATATTACAATCTGTTTAGAGCTAGAAGGAAGTTGAGGCTTCATGTAATTTAGTGTCAAAAATGAGAGCACAGAGGGTGATTGGTGGTTCAGTATCTTCCTGAAGTTAACTAGGGCATAGATTATCCAATTTCCTAGTTTACTTTTAAAATATTCCCAAACTTTAGGAGATGGATACAAGGAAGATTACAAAATTTGATCCTACTCTGGATAATTTAGGAAGACTCAAAATAAAGACTTTAAAAAGGGTTGGGATATATTTCAGTGAAAAAGCGTTGGATTCAAGGGTTCAGTCCCCAGTCCTGGGGTTGTGGGTATGATGGGGATATATAAAAAATAAATATTATATATAAAGCATTTAAATTCTGATGAAAGTAGCATCTTCTTAAGACAGTGATAAAAGTAGCTTAATCATATTAATTATATGCAGATTTTAGCTGGGTGTGGTGGCTCATACCTGTAATCCCAGCACTCAGGAGGCTGAGGTGGGAGGGAGGATTGTTGGGAGTTTGAGACCAGCCTGAACTACATAGTGAGACCCCGTCTCCAAAAAAAAAAAAAAAAAAAAAGACAAAAAAATTATATGCAGATTTTAAAGATCATTTTTATTGTACACATTTATAATTATTTTTCTCTTTGAGTCATTTTTACAGAACTTTAACATGCTATTTTGTCTCTTTGCCAGGGAGGGGAACTACAAAGTACGCGTGTATTTGAGGAAATAAATCGTAGGCTTAAGGATATCGGGCACAAGGAGGTGAAGAAAGTAAATGCTGTATTTGAATGGCATATTACTAAAGGTGGAAATACTGCAGCTAAGTGGAGTAAGTCATATTCTAAGATAACTCTGAAGAGGTAGAAGTATTCTTGTTATATTTAGAGTCTCTTTGTAGATAGGTGAACTTAGGTAAAATGTTTTTTGACAGTAATAGATTTTAAGGTGCTCATGATTCTTTTTTATTGATATATAGGAAAACAATTAAAACATACCTTTAAAATATTTCGTTGTAGCATCCAAAATTAGTACAGTTTTCACTCTACTCTTACAGATTCAGTCAACCGCACATTGGAAATGTAGCGAGTTCTAAATGGTACATTTCTACTGAACTTGTAAGGGCACTTTTTTCCCTACTCTTATTCCCTAAACCACACAATGTAACAACTATGTATATTTGGTGTTATAAGTAATCTAGAGATAAGAAAGGGAAAATAAAAGTTATCAAGATGTGTAACTTACATGTAACAACTCCCCATGATGAATGCTATCATCATGTACTACAAACATGTACTAATAAAAACAAAGAATATTTTCAAGGTTATATGCAAGTGCAGTGCCACTTCATATAAAGGACTTGAGCATACTTGGATTATGATATCCAATGGGGGCCCTAGAACTACTGTACTTTAAAACAATCATGTTGGCTGCATATTTTTAAAAAACTAATCTTTCTTTGGTCAAATGCAATATTTTGTCATTATATTTAACAGTTTGAGAATTGTTTTCTTCATCCCAAAACAATAAATTACTATCTTACTAGCATAAAATCATAATTATTTGCTTGATATGTAGAGACTACAATCAGAGATGCCCATTTATCTCTAGGGGAATTACCCATTAGAGTACCGTGTTTGCAGGCTGGCCAACCACCCAATCTAAACTGACATGATGCACATGTAAAGCAGTCTTCTTTCACTAATGTAGAGGTCTAGAAAGACCCTGTTACCATTTTATGAAAAAAGATATTAGATGATAAAGAGAATAAAAGAAGAACCTCTTATCAGGTCTTTTGCATCTGCTGTGTGACTGTGTGTTTTACAGTATTCTAATCTCTGGAGTTGTTGGAGAATTATAGTGTGCCAATGGGATGCTCGCTGAAACTTTCTGAGTTTTCATATTTTTCTACCTGGAAGCCTACAGGGAACGGGACTGTTACTGTTAGTCCAGCCACTGCAGTCCCCAAAGTTGCTTACTGATGTGGAAAAGAAGCATCTAGGAAAATCCGGGAATATAGCTCAGTGGCACAAGTGCCTGCCTGGCAAGTGTGAGGTTGTGAGTTTGATCCCTGGGGTAGTGGGTAGGGGAGGAATAAGCTTCAAGGGTAGTGTAAAACTCAGAGGACTTTTCCTGTCTTTCATAATTGTGAGAGTGGGAGACCATCTAATAGGGACTGGTTTCATGCCCCTGAAGAGATGCAGAACTCCAGAGCTTGGGATTTGTTGCTACTCTAGGACCATTTAATGTTTGGGCCCAATTCAAGAATGGTTGTAGTTCTCTACAATCAGTGAGCAGGTGTATTAAATGTCATAGACTGCATTGTTACCTGAAATCCAGGGCTATAGGCCATGCTTCTGAAAGTACTCTAAGTGATAGAATGAATCATCTTTTCCCTCAGTGTTTGTGCACCATACAATCATACAGGAATGTGCAAAGCACAAGTAGTTTAAAGGAAAAGTGGTGTGTCTGGGTTTTTACTTGCATAGCAGAAGCTATTTATTATATTAAAAAGTTTCATTATTTTTATTCTGAGATTGCCTTTAAGAGGACCTGGTTAGGGGCTGGGGATTTAGCTCAGTGGCATAAGCACCTGCCTTGCAAGCAGGCGGTCATGAGTTCAATCCCCAGTACCAATAAAAATGAAAAAGACAAAAAAAAAAAAAAAAGAAAGAAAGAAAGAGGACCTGGTTAAGTGCCTTGAAAATCGCATTGTTTTATTATTACATCTAAAAGATCACTATAAGTGCTCACTTAGATCAGAAACCTAAAATATATCTAGATCAAATAGAATTTTTGAAATAATCTATTTTTAGGAAACATGTTGAAGTTTTGTTCAGTAAAAACCACTTCCTTTTAATATTTGCTATTCCTTTTAGGTAACATTTGCTCATTATATACAACTTGTTATATAATAGTATAAAGAAAACCAGTGGTGTGTAATTCCAGTACCTACATGTTTTGGAAGACATAAGTACTTATAGGAAGTTAACTCAGAAATGAGGAAAAGGGAGACAAATATGTAATGCAAGGACTGATCAAAAAGCATGGTACGTAGATAGATATTACAGCATAACATTGCTATTAATCCTCTTCAGAACACTCTCCTTCACTGTAGACACACTTATTCCATCACCCTCGCCACTTTCTGAAGCTGTTCTGGAATTCTTTGTGTCTTTATTAGATGGAATAAAAAATATGGTGAACATTGCTGTCAGATACCGATCAGGGGAGAGCCAGATTAGTAAAAACATTTTGGTATGTCCTTGTTACCTTATTCACCAGCTCTGGCACTATGTGACCCCAAAGTGCCCATGGAAGTAAATGTTTTGACTGATTCAGGACATTGAAGCAACCATGATAGTGTCAGCAAAGAGAAACCCAGAGCTGCTTCAGAAAGTGGCAGGGGTGAGGGGAGAAGTGTGTGTGTGAAGCAAGAGGGAGTACTTAGCGAAGGACTAATGGTAATGTGTCTTCTACTGTAATTTTTAATGTTGAAGCAGCCCCCATATTTTTGATTACATTTCATGTATATTCCCTCTCCCAATTTTTTTTTTTTGTGCCAGGGATCAACTCTTCCCCCAAATTTCAAAGTGCCAATTTTTAAAAGATTAACGGTGTAAATAAGAGGTCATCACTGTACGGTCATCTTTCTTTCCTCCTTTCTATTCCTCCATGATGGAATGAAGCTTTTCCCCTATGGATGAAAGCATACTAGAAATTCAAATATAAAGCATAGAACTGTCAAAGAGGACAGGAGTTAGGTGTTACAGAATGAGAAAATGTGCCAGAGACTTGGAAAACTGGCATTCTTTTGAGATCAGAAACCATTTGTTTTTGAGGATACCGTTTGGTAGAGTATATAAATTCCTGATTTGGTGATTCTAGCAGTCAACCAGATTACCCTTTTGGGTTTCTCAGCTTAGTTATGAACTAAATCTGAAGGGTTTTGGATTGAGATTGAGAAGAGTGGGTCGTGCATTTGAAGGAAAAGGGTGCTCTCTAGAAAGAAATGTGCTTTCCATTAGGAGTAAGGCCTGTTTGCTGGAATGTTCCCTTAACAACTGACTGCTTCTCCTTGCATAGCAGCAGCTCTTGAGTACATTCCCATATGCATTTGCTCTTTAAGGGTACACATAAAAGCACATTTAAAAAATCACTTAAAGCAAATGGCTTTCCTCCTTTAAATATGTTGCTTATCTTAATATCTTCATTTTATACTTTTTTGTTTGAAATAATTTCACATTTATGGAAAGATAGACAACTTATATATTTTTGCAATCTTGCCAAATTGTTAAAAATTTTATCCTATTTTATAAAAGTCACTTGCTGACACGGTGTCCTGAAGAGTAGACTAGTAGCATTTCCTAAGAACACAGACATTCTCTTACCTATTTGCAAAACAGTTATTAATATTAGGAATATAAAACTGATATACCATTATCTAACCTATAGACCACATTAATAACTTCATTCATTGCTCCAATTGTGTCATTTGCAGCAAAAGAATAATGATAGTAATAATAACAGTGATAGGAATAAAGAGAGGAAAAAAACTGATCAGGGCCTGAGATTCAGCTCTGTATTTATTATAAAGTATCTTTTAGTCCACATTAGTCTAGAGGTGTTTCTGTTTTTAAGTGACCTTGATATACAGTGCATTTGAAGAGTGGATGCAGTTGTTTTATAGAATATTTCTTAGTGTGTGTTTATTTGATGTTTATTCACAAATTTTGGCAGAAAACACAAAAACATGTGCTTATTTTTTAATTTTAACAAGTCTATTATTTTTTGATAGAGATTCTTCTTTCATCCACTTAACAGTTCCTAACCACTGTACTTTCCATTTAAGGAAGTATATGGGGCACACAGGTGTCAAGATATGTCTGTGAGCCGGGGATGTAGCTCAGTGGCATGGTACCTGCCTGGCAAGCATGAGGTCCTGAGGTTCCGAGTATTTAAAAAAAAAAAAAAAGATGTGTCTGTGCCCACAAAGACCTAACCTTCAGGGTAGAAGGCACGGCAGAAGGAGCTCCTTTGTCCGATGGTGGCACTTTGTGATTTGTAGTACCAATTTTGGAAATGCCACATTTTCATTTACTACCTCAACCCTCCTTTGGTAAAAGCTGCAGAGTGTGAAACTTTAATGATCTGTTTCAGTGTCTTTATGATTATATAGAGTTAAAATTACTTACAAAAACATTTAAATTCTATCACTAAAAGAAACCATGTACTATCAGTTTCTTCATTTCTACATTGAGATTGGCTGGACTTTGCATGAAACTATAATCTCCAGATAGCGGTGGATTCTCCAATGAGCCATATTGTAGACCATGACTCGAGACACTGCAGGACTGGGTGCTCCACTTCTCTACCCCCAGCTTTTGTATTCTTGTGGAGGACCATCGCTGCTTTAGCCATCTTTTATCAGCATTGGTTGTTAGCTTCCCATGAGAAAAAAAAAGTTTTATCACTTGAAAGATCATGGCTGTAAACAGTCTGTGTAGGTGCCTGAGTGGGAAAGTAGACTGCTGATAGCTGTTAATCACTGAGTCCTCTCATTCCTGTAGTCTGCCATTAAGCAAGATGTGGTGCAGTTTTATTCCTGAGCCATGTATATGTATATTTTTCATCTGTAAGTACATCTAGAAGTATGTATAAAAAGCACAAGTAGGACTTTAGGCTTGTGCAGAATGAATGTGAAACCAGTCAAATGCAGGGGCTTGATCAGACGTGACGTCGTCCTTTCTTTGTGGGTGTAGTGCTGCTTACCTGTAACCTCAATACTCAAGGTGGTTGAGGTAGAAGGGAGGAAAGTTCAAACCTGGCCTGGGAAACCTAAGAAGACTGTGTTTCAAAATAAAAAGGACTATGACGTGCAGTATTGCAGTATGACGTGCAGTGTGAGGCCCTGGTTTCAATCTGTAGCACTAAAAATTTTTTTCTACCTGCTGCCTTTTTTCCTTCCTTTCATTCTTTCCCCTTGAGGGTCTTTTCATGTAACTGCCAGTAAACACAGTGGCTTTGCTCTTCATATTATAGTTCTAGTACCTCACATATTTTTTTTTTAACAATTGGGGATCAATTTATTAAAACAGTTGCCTTAGACATCTGCCATGGTGACTTCAACCTCCACTCCTGGCTTGATACTGATGAAAGTAATTTGCTTAACAATCTTAGAAGAACTGCAAATCAATGAGTTGCTTGTGGATTCTCATCGGGAAACCATCCCATGTATTAGAACCTCCACCACAAGGCGTTTTTCTTGCAGTGATTCATGCAAACAGGTCCTTTCACTTTGAGATTCTTTTTCTTTGCACTTCTGATCAAGTCAGCACATAACTTTTCCAGCGAATTCACGTTGTGGCTGGTGAACCTCACAAGTTTTGACACTCATACCAGAAACTTAATGAGGTGGATTAATCATGAACACAAAGCAAAATGGTCCCTTCTCTTCTTGCCATTTGCTTTTACCCAAAGTAAACATTTTTCTTTTTTCTTTTTCTTTCTTTAGTTGGCAAAGTTGTCTTCTCTGGAGGGTTGGAGTAATTTAAGTTTATCTTTGGAACAGAGCTTGCTAAGCAGAATACTAAATGCACTGAGTCTTCCTGTGCACCTGTTCCTGACCCTCAGCTGGGAGTTCTTACAGTCTAGGGAGAGCAATAGGACTGTAGCTCCTCCACTGAAGTAAGAAAGTACATTCATGAAGGAATTGGTTTTCCAGTGTGCATTGTCTCAGTCATACGTGAGACTCTTCAGACTTTGTAAAGTATAACTTTAAAGTTCTGTAAATGTTGCATAAATAAGCAATAAAGTTACATTTTCAGTAGTTCAGTTACACAGCTGTTTCTGGGGCATGTAATCTGTCCCTCCTTTTATTAAGTTTATAGGTGCCATTTAGATGTGCATAATGGTCACATTCATTATAGGGAATTTGTACCTGTGTATGACATTTCTTGATTCTTCTTGATTTCATAATCCCGTCCCCCCTGCAACCCTTCTTTCCCTCCTTATTTACACAGCTTTGTTTACATTTTATCCTTTCATAGTTTTTTTTTCATTTCCCTTTCTTTCTCCCTCCTCCCTCCCTAATTTCTATTTCTTTTGAACAATTACTCTTTGTCAAGAAATTCATTAAAGGAAGAGAAAGTAATTAAAAACTTGTATTAACTATTTTATAAATCACAATATATAACAAACTAGAATATTTTAAAAGTATTTTTATTATCTTGCTGTTCAACCAACATACAACTATTTTAAAACTGAACTTTTCTCTTTTGTGAATTATAATCTGTTTGACTTTCATTTTGCTTCATTATAATATCTTACTGTGTATTAATTCATACTTCTTACATCTTAGTCCTGTGAAAACTTTGGTTTTTTTAATTAAAAAAATTTAAAAAAAGAAGGAGATTAAGATAAAAGAGGACATAACAACACAGGTTAGAACAGAACAATTTAAGCAATGTAGTGTTTCACCATAAGATAACCTGACATAACAGTAGTTACCATAGTGTCTCTTTCCTTGAAGTATTTGAGTATAACTTTGTATACTAAAGCATCAGACATAACATGACAGTGTAAAACCATTCAAGAGAATGAAAGTATTACAGGGTATTTAGACCAACTAACAGAAAATGAACAATGCTTTCTATATTATCTCCTTGTCTATAAAAATTTTGTTTATATTATCACATATAATAAAATCCAATAAGATACAGTGTGATAAACTGATGGAGACAGAAGAACAAAAGCTTGATGGGACTTCAAAACAAGATGATATTAAATCAGTACTAGCTATTATATTGTCTTGTTTTCTTCAAAGTAAGTTAGTCCTGTGAAAACTTTGCAAAGCCATTATTAATCAGACTATTTCAGAGAACTTCTTTATACAAAAAAGTCTTTCTAAATGGCAAATTTGTCTGTAGATAAAAAGTATAAAATAAGTACAACATGAATTTGGAAACAAAATTTTCTACATTTTGCTTAACTGACTGTACTCTCATATTTTGAGGAGAAAATGTAATACACTTTGTTTTCTTCCTGTTTTTTCCAGCTATTGATCTGAAGAATGGCTCTGGAAAAGTGTACCAAGGTCCTGCTGAAGGTTCTGCTGACACTTCCATTTTAATTTCAGATGAAGATTTCATGGAAGTAGTCCTGGGCAAGCTTGACCCTCAGAAGGTAATGCTCTCAAAATCTTCATTGATCCATTATTCTTTTTTGTTTAATAATTGGAGCTTTAGCTAATTTTCAAATTCTGATTCATGAAATTCGTCACAACTCTCAAGTCTGAATTTGGTACCAATATTATGGTTGACAAGTTATTTTTTTAATGGAGTTTCAGTTGACACTTTATAAAACTGAGTTTTGGGATGAAGTTTCTTGTTACAGTAAAACAACAAACAAACCCACACTTAGACTTTCTAATATGATACATCATTAGTCCATGCATGTGAAATTAGTGGATATTCTATAAAATTATTTACTCTTGATATGTAAGTTGAGGAACCTTTATCTGAAATAATTGAGACTAAAGTGTTTCAGAATTTTTTGAAATTTGTAATATTTGCATAGGCTTTACTAGACTATCCCCCATCCAAAAATCTTAAACCCACGACACTCCAGAATCTTAAAGTTTTTGAGCATCATGTCACAACTCAATGTTTTAGATTTCAGATGTTTGAATTAATGATTCAAAACCTATGTAAGATTAAGAACTAATTGAAAACTTTAAATAGGGTGTTTTAACATAGCCATATCTTATTTCGTGTATATTAGCCGCTTTCTTGCTTGCTTTTTTTTTCTTTCTTCCTTCTTGCGTGCTTTTCTTTTCTTTTCCTTTTCCTTTTCCTTTTCCCTTTCTTTCTTTCTGTCTGTCTGTCTGTCTTTCTTTCTTTCTTTCTTTCTTTCTTTCTTTCTTGTTGGAGGACAAAATGTATGACACTGCAGCTTAAGGGAGAAGACTGTGTTTTGGCTCACAGTTTCAGAACACTGTCCATACTGTTAGCTCCAAGGCAGAAAGAGCATGGCAGAAAAGCACAGGGAAACACCGCTCAATCCGTGGCAGCTAAGAAGCAGTGAGACAGACAGACAGATAGACAAATGGGAGTTGGGGACAAGAATGCACCCTTTCAGGTCATGCTCCCAGTAACCCACCTCCTTTAGCTAGGCCTTATGTCCTAACAGCGTATTTAGCTAAGAACTCATCAACGGTTCAGTCCACTGAGGAATAGAATTCCCCTTGAGTGAGTGATCTTCAGAAGCCCCATCTCTGAATGAGACTTTGGGGGATATTTAGATAAGAACTGTAACATTTAGAGGCACTGAAGTGGAAAATCATGATTAATAGTGCTTTCTCTACCTAGATGTGGTGATGTGTGCTGGTAATCTCAGCACTTGGGAGGCTGAGGCAGAAAGACTGCCAGGAGTGCGAGGCCAGCCTGGATTATAATAGTGAGTTCAAGGCTAGTCTGAACTACCAAAAAAACCAAAAACAAGAAAAACCCCCACAAAAAACCAGCACCTTCCCTGATTATTACTAATTAATGTTATTTTGAAACTTTTGGCCATTCCAGAGGAAAACAAAAACCCCCACAAAATTAAAGTAGCTGCTGTGACAGTTTGAATGGAGGAGAAAATTTGTTATTTTCAATGCATGAATATTTAGTTGGAAATTCCAAGAGTATCAACTGATTTTTATAATTAAAGTGTACAAAAAATAGTTGAATGGACAATTATTGTTAGTTTTCACATAGCAGCAACATCAGATGGAAGGTGTTATGGAAAGTTTGCATATAATCACAACACACAGAATAATGTTCAAATGACTACTGTCACAAAGCACAGTGCTTATTTGACAAAACTATACATATTTACAAAGAACCAGGTAATGTGAAATAATGAGGAAGCTTACTATTTTCCTACATATAAAGTAATTTACAAAGAATTATAAAGTGTATAGTGGTTAAATGTCTGGTGTTTAGTATACAGCAAATCTAAGTTTGAATCTTGGCATGGTTGCTTAATCTTAACACCTCAATTTTCTCATTTATGATCCCAAGGATTATTATATGAGTTCTAAAGCCAGTAATATAAATGAATATCAAAATATGATCCTCAGCAGTTTCCCAAGAATTTATTTAATACCTACTCTGATTCAGATTATAGTTAACATTGAACAAGGCAATACCTGTATAGAGCTTAGTTCTAGAGCTCTAATAGAAAAGAATATAATTAGGTATAAAGAAAACGTAAGGTAGGCTAATGGCCGAGAGCAGTGATGGCAAGCTTTTTCTGTAAAGGATCATGTGGTAAATATCCTAGGCTTTGTTGCAGTTGTTCAACTCTGCCATTGTATCATTAATATATAAACAGTTGTGTATGGCTATGTTCTAGTAAAACTATTTGCAAAAACAAGTAGCACAGTAGACTGGCCCCCAGTCTTTAGTTTGCTATTCCTTGGTCTAGAGTATGACAAGATAGGGTAGCTATTTTAGATATAGTTTTCAAAATGCCTGATTAATATTTGAACCAATTAAAGAAATGTATCATGAGACTAAAAAAACTACAATGACAATAAAAATGCCTAAGGCAGGAATACCTTGGCTTATTGTATACCTTTAGCCATGAGGAGGCCAGTAAGGCTAGTAAAATGAATAATGGAGAGAGTCAGATAGGAGAGGCAGGTAAAACTGAATAGCCACATGCATAAGATTGAAACTTCATCCCAACATCTACCCTTTACAAAAGCCAACTCAATATGGATCAAAAATTGTAAGACCTGAAACTACTAGAAGAAAATACAGGGCAACACTTCAAGGCATATTCAAAAATTTTCTGAGTAGGACTCCAGAAACCTAGGAAACAAAACCAAAAATTATCAAATGGGATAACATCCTGCTGAAAAGCTTCTGCACAGAAAAGGAAACAATCAAAAAAGTGAAAAGTCAGCCTATAGAATGGGGGAATATACATTCCAGCTGTTCATTTGATAGGACTAAAATCCAGATTATATAAAGAATTCATAGTGCTTAACAAAAAAACCTAATTTTAAAAAAGGGTAATGATCTAAAAAGATTCGTCTCGGAAGAAGACAAATGGTCAACAGATATGTGAAAAAAATGTTCAATATTTTTAGCAATTAAGGAATAGAAAATCAAAACTAAAAAGAGATACAATCTCATCTAATTAGAATGATTATTATAAAACAGGACGTTGGTGAGGTTGTGGGGAAAAACCTTTGTACATTGTTGTCAGGAATGCAAATTAGTATAGCCGCTATGGCGAATGCTATGAAGATTCTTCAAAAACTAAAACTAGAACTACCATATTATCCAGCTACCCCACTCCAAGGTCTATATGAAATTAGCATAACAGATTTTTGGATGGCTATGTTTATTACTGCATAAATTCACAGTAGCTAAGATAAGGGATAAGCCTAGGTTCCTGTTGCAGATGATTGATAAAGAAAATGTGATGTATGTACACACTGGTGTATTATTCAGCCATAAAGAAGATTAAATCATGTCATTTACAGCAAAATTGATAGAACTAGAGGATAACCGTCAAATGTTGGGATATATACTTCAAGTCATTAAGCATACATAATTTAAGCGGCATGTTCCACTCTAACTTACTACAGTCTGGTCGAGGTAGTCCTAACCTGCAAGGATTGCAAACTAAGGTTTCTATAACTGCATAGTGAAAGTTTCTTAATTTTGAAATCTGTGTCCTGTGTTTGAATGCGTGGCATTATAAAAAAAGTTTTTGCTTTTTCTGTAGTTGATTAAGAATTGCTTCTGAGGTTAAATTCTTGCTAGTTGAAAGGAGGTATTGTGAAACAAAGACAAGTTGAGTTCAAGTCATGGCCCTGTTGTTGGCTTTGTGACTTTATGTAGATTATCAGAGCTCTCTGAAATTGTTTTCTTATCTGTCAGAAGAGATGAGAACTGCTGATGTACATTCTCTCCATGTTGATGACTGGTTCTTAAGTAAGATCATATGGAGCTGCTTTATAATATTAAGTATATACAGATACTGGTTTTTTTTCCCCCAGCTAGCTACAAATCTAGGAATTGCTTTTTCACCTTACTTTTTGTGTGTTATTAATGAACTATAAAAACTGTGATTATTTTTGTTTTTTGGTAGTAGAGAATTTACAATGAGAGAAAACTTAAGTAACTTGTACAAGTTTATATGACAAGCCTGAGCGTTAGTGTAGGAATTTAGTCTTTTAACATGGCAGCCTTTTACTTTACAGCAGTAAGCTAAGCACTTTACACATTATTTAATTTAACTCACATGACAAAATTTGTGTTATTTAGGCACTGTTGTAAAGAGTTTTGTGTATGAAGAGATGAGCTCAGAGAGATTTAATGATTTGCCCATACTTACCTCCCTAATGAGTGGTAGAACCTGGATTTTAAACTAGACATGCTAATGAAACAACTATGGTGGAGGTTATTTTCTTTATGACTTGAAATTCTTCAAGCTCTCCTTGCCTTAAGGGTTTGTGTTGAGAAATCTGATGTGATTCTGATGGTCTTAACAGTTTTTAACATTCTGTTCTTGTGAAGAATTTCTGGAATCTTAACTATTAGATGCCTTGGTGTAGATTATTTTGATCATGGCTATTTGGAATTCTATATGCCTTAAACTTATCTGTATGTCAGATCCTTTTTCCATATTTGGGAAATTTTCTGCCATTACTTCTATGAACATACTTTTTATATTGTTTGTGTTGCCTCCTGCTTTTTCATTGACTCACATCAATCTTATAGTACTATTCTTTGCATCATTTAGTATCTGATGAATTGATTTTTTTTTGTGTGTGTATGTTCCCTTCCTATTTTTAAGAAATGTTGTTTTTTCATGATTGTTCACTGCAATCCTGCCTTCTAGATCTGATATTCTGTCCTTACATTGGTTCATTCTGCATGTACTTTCAGTAGAATTTTTGACCTCCTGGATATCTGTTGTTTCACAGAATTCATTTCTTTTGTATATTAGATGTTCATGGTGTCTATCATTTTCCTAAACTCCTCTACTTTTAAATCTGTATCTATTGTAGGTTCACTGAGTGTCTTTTAGATTTCACTGGCCTCTGGGTTTGCTTTGGGTGAGCTGAAAGTCTGGGGTTACATCTTACTGTATGTCTTCTCATTTTCTTTTTTCTTTTCTTTTCTATTCTCATTTCTTTTTTCTTTTTTTTTTAACCTTAATTTCTGCATTGATGCTTGTAAATTGCTTATGGTAGGTAACTTTATTTCAAGAATTGAGAACTGTTAGGAAACAACTACTTCTTAGAGATGTCATTCAGGTATAGCTGGCTTTTGGGTTTTGACTCTGTTGCAAAATGCTACTACTTCAGTTGATTAAGGATGAGAAGTTGCTGCCTATTCGGCCTAGCACTTGGTTCTTTGACACTGGCCTGTAGTATTGTTTATAACACTGAGATAATCATAATCTTGGCATACAAAGAACAGTTATGTCACTTTGACTAAAGTAGTTCAGTCAGTAACAGTAGCATCAATCATAGTCTAAAAAATGATGAACTGTGGTAACTATTAATTTTCTACCTATAATAGTAGGAACAAGATCTGTAGTTATATAACAAAAACTAAAACAAACTGGAAAATTATGTACGGTAAAAATCTCAAGGCAGTTTTACCCTCAGAGGAGAAAATTTAAAGAGATTGGGAGAAAAAAAAATAGAGAAAGAGAAGAAAAGAAAAAGACTAGAGCACAAAGTAAGACTGTGCAAGCTTTGGGAAACTCTAAAGAACACAGGAGAGAAAGGAAGAAAGAAACAAGAACCAAACCAAACAAAAAGAAACTAGAAACATTGCTCATATTCATATAGGAATAAGGACAAACAAGAAAAAGAGAAAGAAAGAAAAATAGACAATGACAGGAAGAAAAGTAAAACAGGACTGCTTCAGGGCTTGTCTCTGCTGTCACTGGTAGACAAAGAGGGCAGGCAGAGCCCAGATCTGTGTTGATTGCCTCCAGCAAGCCTGTAGTAGAATTATGGTGGGGTGGTGGAGAATCCTAGTGAGCCTCCACCTTCCGTTGCACTGAACTTCAGGCTGCTTCTGGCTTTTGGCTGTGAGGCTAGCACTGGAGTTACTCAGCCTGCAACACTGGGTGCTGCCTGCCAGCTTGAACTTGGTTCCCTGACCTTGGATATTCCCCATGGCTGTACCTTACCCTTACACTGTGAGCTACTAGACAGAGCAAACCTGCAACCACTCTTATTTCTGACTTCAGTTGGCCCCTTTCCAATATGGTAACTGGCCCATGGCCTCTCATGGAGGATGTTGGAACAGGAATAATTCACCAGCCTTTGCAGTCCACAGTGTGCACTGCTCCTTTCCAATGGTGTGCTTTCCTGGGCAGGCCTCTGAAATCACCAGTAATTACTGTGCCTTTGAGGCTTGAGCTGCCTCTCCTGTACCATGAGCTGCATGAGCTGCAACTCGGGGAAAGCTTATCACTTTTTACCTCTGTCTTCTGCACTGAGGTTCCTCTATGCCCTCTTCATGGGCTCTGATTCTGGTTTCCAATCATTGTTGGGCCCTAGGGACCTTCTTTCTTCACATTGTTGTATTCTAGGGTTTGGACACCATATCTTGGATAGGGTGTTTCTCTGCTGCTCACCACTCCACCATCCTCCTGGAAGTCCTAGCCGCGATTGTGCTATACTACCTTATTTTATTCTATGGTTTTCTATAGTAAGATAGAAAATTTAATAGTAGATGTTTAGTCTGATTTTAAGGTTATGAATTGAATATTTTTGTTAGCACAGTATAAACTTTTATTTATATGGCTGAAATTCACATGTAAGAAGAGAATAAAGATAAAAAGGGAGATTAAAACAGGAAATAGACCTTTCAGTTCAGATAGATTATTCTGTGATTTTCTGAAATACCCAGGGATCTCTTTTCTTAACTATCCAAAAATATGAGCACTGTGTATAAGGCTATTATTACTAAGTAAACAGTGCCTATCTTGTGCAGAGTTACTAACCTGTGGTTGTTCTGAGCAGTTGTCTTTTCAAAAAAGAAATGGAATGTGATATGATAATGCTTGGTGCTCTCTTTCTGTCTCTCTTCCAGGCATTCTTCAGTGGCAGACTGAAGGCCAAAGGGAACATCATGCTGAGTCAGAAACTTCAGATGATTCTTAAAGACTATGCCAATCTCTGAAGGGTATCTACACTGCTAGTGAATATAGAATACTTATGCTTGAAGATTCTACAAAAGTGATCAAAACTAAAATATAGAAGAAATTGCATATGTTTTCAGATTTCAGATAACTTCAGATTTTCATTTTCTACTATTTTTCATAAGTATTTTTACAAGTATAAGCTGGTATATAATTATCCTTCTGTGCTTAGATATAATAGCTTCATAAAAAATTTTTATTCAAGTCCAATTTCTATAAAATTCATGATAACACCAATAAATTGACAGTAAAATAAAGAATAAAAGCCACTTTGGTACTTTTATTCTTCCTTTATTTGTTATTTTTTTGTTCTCTAATTTATTGATATTCCTATTTTAACATGAATTACCCTACATGTACTCTTTTTTTCTATACTTTGTTATAATTGGGTTCTGCTTTAAGGCAATAGATAATTCTGCTTCCAAGTCTTTTTCTTTGTTTTCCCCCTCCCTTTCACTGGAAATTCCATACTTTAACATAACATTTGTATGTGTACAAAGGATACACTTGGTTTCTAAACCAGTAACCATAACTACTAGCAAATACTGTCATGTAACAGTTTTGTTTCACATTTACCTCAGTTGAAACATATCCAGGAAATTTTACTGTGACGTGTTGTTTGGAGAAGTAAGCAGCAGTAAATGGGATGCTAAAGTTAAGATTCATGGGCAGTGTGATTCATAGGCAGGAAGTCAATTTGGGAGTATTTTTAGGTCCCAAACCTGTCAGGAGGAGCAAAGGAACCAGGCTTGTGAAAGGGTGACAAGAATATAGACTGAGGGAGCTACAGTTTAGGAACCAGGGACGTTTCAGAAGTTTAAAATTGTAATATTTAGAGCAGTAATGGAACGTAGTAGATATTCATATACTATTGATTTAATGAACAAAGGCACAGAAGAAAAGTTACATATTTGAGAGTTTTGCCTTGGTCTTATGAGCTCTCTAAAACATTGTAAAATTGGTTTTAATTCAGAATGATCACCTACTCTGCCAATGGAAGTTTTAAAAATCAGTGGCTTTTTAAAGTATTGATCTTTTATCGTACTTCAAAGCCATTGAGCTTGGAAACACTATTGTGTCCCAATAGAAACAGCATATTAAAATAAATCAAATGCCACCATACATTAATGAGAAAGTGTTGGTTATGTACCATAGGTATTTAAAACTTATGATGTTTTAAATAGCCTTACTGATGTCTATCTTTAAGACCAAAGAGATCTATCTACTTGTATCCACATTTGGCAAATCATTAGTCTTAATGTTTCTTGATCCTTCTGAAATTTGATAATGTTGAATGCACTATGCTTGACTTAGGTTCCTCTCTTCCAGTGAGAAATACAGTAACTTTCTTAATGAACCTGTTTCCTGTTTGTGTCCTTTATGACTTCCTTTACCCCCAGTAAGTTCACTACAGATTCAGTGCCCAAGGTTTTCATTGGTAGCTTGTTCTCATAGGCTTCCTTAACCTGAGCAGATAGCAAAATTCTAAACCATGAGAAGGAAAGCAGATGTTCACGGTAAATTGTTGTATGTATAAACAGTTGAGTACAGAGAGCCATTCAGTGAGGGAATAGTGGGAGGTACTACCCACGGACCTACCTTTAAAGAACACTTTCTACATGTAGCATTCTCGAGGCCTGCTGTTTTCATTACTATTCAGGTAAGATCAGCTCCACCCAACTGTGTGTCCTAAGAGCAATTCAGGCATGGTATCAGAAGAAATCTGGAGGGCATGGTAGCCATATCAAAACTTCCAACAAAATTAAATTGCTTAAATTGCTTTTTTACCCTATCAGTTGGTAGAATTTTGTATTATCCTTTACCCTTTCAAGTATGTCTCTTACCTATGTGGAGCTGTTTTCAATCAGCAAAGATAGAACAATTTCTGAGTTCTTATACATTAAAACAACCTGGAAAAGCTTTTTTTTTAAAAAAATTGGGGAGAAATAGATTTGAACACTTGCACAAAATTTTAACCTTGTTTTTATGTCAAAAAATAAATGTAGTAAACTACATTCTAATCCATTTATACTGAGAAATTTTGAATTTGAGAAATGTAAAAAGCTGATAGTTACAGAAAATGATATTCTGAAGATAACATTAGGTCAGTGATATTCTGAAGTAACATTAGGTTAGTGTGGACAAAGATCTTGAATACAGATCTTCAAAAATTTGTAAGTAGGTGAAATAGAAAAACTATAGGCCTTAGCTAAAAATCAATTTACATGTATATGTAATGGCTCCAGTTGTCTAATACACACACTGGGATTAACAGCTTTAAAAAATGAGACAGCTGTGCTGGTAAAATGTTGATGTACTAAATTTCTAAATTCCTATAAGAGCTGTCCTGGAACCCATCTTTTCTCATATTGATTATATCGCTTGAATCTGTAGCTAATAACAACTGAAATATAATTGCGTAGAATCATGTTGTTAGGAGCATGTTTTTGAAGGCAATGTGAAAACTCACTAGCATCATTTGAAATGAGGTAAATAGTTCTTTGTACTTAAATCTGGTCAGTAAACAAGATGGATTAAATCAGGAGTTGGCAAACCTTTTCTGTAAGTGGTCAGATAGTAAACATTTTGAGTTCTGTGTCCGCATGTGTTCTCTTTAGCATCTTTATATGTATTTTAATATGTAATGTATCACACGGTTACATAATGTATTACATCATTGTATAATCTCTTACAACTTAACAGACTTGTGTAATACATATAATGAATTTAACATTTTAAGATATAATGTATATGTAGTTTTAAAATACATATTTAAAAACAATGGAAGTTATAAAACCACTTAACTACAGAAGAACGGGCTGAGGTCTAGATTTGGCTTTTGTGGCAGGATGTAGCACAATGTACAGAGCAATCACTTTAGAAAACTTTTTTCACAAGACAACGTGACTGAATAGAGCTACTCAGAGAAATTCAACTAAAACCACAGGCAGTTGGAAGAAAGAGGAAGGACATACATCCTGAGACCAAAATCAGTCTGCAATACAGGACTCATACATCAAGCAAAACATAAAGGGTTTAATAAAACAGCCAGCCAGCCCCCTGGCTGCTGGTGAGTCACTGGTTCGCAGGCAAATTCCCACCATACTTGCAGCTTAGAAGAAGGAGAAAGAAGAGGAGGAGGAGGAGGCAGAACAAGAGTGAATGACTGAATATACTAAAATGATGTGGCTAAATCAAGCCATGCAGGATTGACTTGGGATATATAAGGTCCCCTGCCTCTTGCTTTCCTCCAGACAGTGCTGCAGCTGAGCAGTAAATTCTGCCAGTACACACAGGAGTGAGTTAACTGCTTTCTCCCTAGTGATTGGCCAGTTTTCTCTTTCCCCTCACCTTGTTCCTTTTGTGCAATAGAACACTAACTGGAACCTCTGGGAAGAGGTTAAAAAAATACAGCAGTGCATAGTAAATTAAACAGCTAGCCCCTCCCCCATCACCGTTGGCTAGAGAGGTGTGGGACCTTCACAGCCTTGTGGGACTATGCAGTGTGGGGCTGTCGCCACATTGGGGCAGAAGCAGAAATGTACTTAAGGCACCTCATTCTACCTTGCCCAGTAAAATTACAGACTACAGTGGAGGCAGGTGTCAGTAACAATGGACCTCATAAAGCAGCAAGTGGAAAGTTAGTGCTGAGGACTAATTGAGACTGAGCAACCTTGGACCTTGGATGGGACCTGCAGGACCAGAGGGTGAGGCAACATCAAAGTGTCCCACCAAACCATTCAACAAATGACCTGAGTACAGAGACTTGCCAGTGGAAGAGTAACACCGAAGGCTGAGCGAAGACGGGGAGGAGACAATGGTGCAGACCGGCCCCCTATCTCTGTCTAAAGACAGCACAGTGAGTGGGAGACAGATACAGAGAAACAGGGAAAAGAAGCAGGCCATTAGGGGACATAGTGAAAGTACTGGCTGGAGACTGGCCCCATGCCCCCACATCTGGAGGCAATGATCAGCCTTTTCCCACCACAATTTCTACGGCAGGTTTGGTAGTTTATCCAGTAGTTTTGGGCTCCCAGTAGGTGCGAAGGGGAATTTTTTAAAAAATTGTATTCTTTTGTTTGTTGCTGGTTTCTTTCATTTCCTTTTGTTTTTGTCTTTTACTTGCATTTCTATTCTGATCTGTTTGTTTTATATGCCCCTTTTAAATTTATCTATAGATTTAACCAAATTTCATGAATGGTCTCTAATTTTTCTGTTTAACTTCGATAATGACTTCTTTACTCCATTCTTATTCTAATTTCCCAAGGCTTGTGCGATCATCCTTTGTCCTCTAGCTTTGCTTCTACATTAATCCTCTTTAGTTATCTCTGTTTCTATCCACTATTCTTAAATTTGCCCTTCACAGGGTGAAACCACTCTACCAAAGGGAAATGTCTTACATTCAGCCTTCCATTTATGATGGCTTCTTTTATATAACCTTAAAATTTGCCCCTGTAGTTTAAGGTACAAAATAGTTGCAGATTCTTGGTTTTTAAGGTGTGCTCAATTCTGTTGTTATTGCTAATTATACTATAGCCAGGTTGTCATATATGTTGTATGCAGTTGTTCTACCTTCCATAACAATACTGGAAAGCTTTAGGGGTAACAATCTCCTTATAGCCAGCACCAAAGGACTGGGGACTGAGGCAAACACATACCAAGATCTCACTGTTAATAAACTAGAAAGATAGGGTCTTGGGACAGAAGCAAACCAAGAAGGTACACACAGAAGACATTCCTGAAGAACAAACATTTTCATTGAATTTTAGGTATTGTAAATTAATTTCTATTTTAATTTCATCTGTAACCCATTGGTTGTTCAAGAGGGTGTTATTTATGTATGTTTTGCAGTTTCTTTTGCCTTTAATTTCCAATTTCAGTGCACTATGATCAGATAATATGAATAGGATAATTTCAATCCCTTTACATTTACTTAAGCATATTCTATGAACTAACTAACATATGGTGTATTTTAGAGAATGTCCCATATGCAGCTTAGAAGAATGTATATTCTGATGTTGTTGGGTGGAATACTCTGCAAATGTCTACTAAGTCCATTTGTTCATAGGTTTG